CACTCCGAACTGCCGTGCATTGGCAGTTTTGGAAATCAAGTAATGTGGCGTGTGAAAAGCGCTCAAAAGAGTCCAAAAACCCTTGATGTTTTCCCTGCCTGACAGATGCTGATAATATTTCCTGCTGCTGCAAAAACAGGCTGTTAAATGCCATCATTTCAATTCGGAGAGCTGGCCAACGGAGAGCTGGCAAATTGCATTTAAATAAGCCAGTAGTATTTGTATTTCTGTGTCTAGACCGGAAATGAGAAACGTTATTGCGAATAACATCGTTGACACCAGGTGTGTTGGTCCTGTGTCGATTTGCAATAAGCCCAGAGACGACTTTCATGGGAAATGAAATGTAAACTTTCCAAATTCTCTCTGCCTGCCTTTTTCCTGTGCTTAGCATAATTTAAATAATTTTTTTAGCCACAAAAATAGTCGAAAGAGGAGATGGAAAGGGCTTAACAAAATCCTCTTAACTGAGACGCCTGGTTTTAAATTTAAACTTTCCTTTCCTCCTCTTTCTCTGTTTTTTTTTATCAAAATAGTTTGCGGCATTATCAGGGAGTGACATTAGAGCTGGTTTTGTGTCGTGGACCAAGCATTTCCAATCAATTGAAATTCAATGCTCCAGTGCAGAAAGGAGCGGAACCGGAAACGGAAGTGGAACGTTGGACATGCAATTTAAATTCAATTTTACACACAAACAGCCAAGTGAGGGTGCCAAAAGGTGTAAGGGGAGGATCTTGGTTCTGGCCTGCCGGTTGCCGGCTTTTATGACGATTCCCCCAACACAAATGGGTTTCATTCGATTTGGCCAGGACGTGGCCCGGCAAACGGGGACAGTTCAGGGTCAGCAGGGTGGAGCCATTATTTATGGGCATCGGTGGGGAGGTTCGTCCAACAATGCTTGTTATTCTTTGCGCTCCACTGGATTATAGGGTATCTGATCTGATTTTCTAATGACACGCTTCTTGCGGCCACACAAACAGAATCCTTGTTTATGGGATTAACTTGGTAGAAGGATACTATAATGGAATGAAGCAAAATAAATGGGGTTGTCTTTCTTGTCAAGACTTCTGGAACTGGGAAAAAAACAGTTCTTGTTCTAATTCACAAAAGTTGTATTTAGTTTTTCAAATAAATTGTATAGAGCATTTCCCTTTCGTTACTACCTTTCTATTTGATTTTGTGAACGGTCACTGGTCTTCTATTTGTATCTCTATACGTACAACTATCTTTATATCTTTTTTGCTGCCGCTGTTGCTTGTTGCGCTTGCATTTCAATTGATGGGAGCATCATTAAGTTTCCAATGTTTGTCCCCACTGCCGCATGAGGAATTCTAAAAACAAACCGCTTCCTCCACTCACAATATTATGTCGCAAACAAGTCACAACAGCAACAATATTCCGCCCTTCCAACTGCTAAGCGGATTGGGTTACGACCCGCCTCTGATATCCTGGACGCTGACAATGTTGCCCTGGTCCTTTGTGATGGGATTGACTTAATGCCAACTATGCAACTTGGCTGGCTGGCAACCATAAATAAATCTGACCACACATCTGTCACAGATCCAATATGCTTTTGACTATCTTCCACTGGGATAAAAACAAGTCATTAAACTGCCATTTTCAGATTGAATCAACGGAAATCAATTCGAAGTTGACAATTAATTCAATTTCTGATTATAAACAAAAAGAAATGTATAAGATTTAAGTACTATAAAAGTTGATTCTGTTTAGTAAACTTTTCTCCCCCAAGAAAAGTCAGGTGAATAGAGCTATTAAACTTTAATGCGATGTTTATTCTCCGTGCATCAATTACCAATTTGAACTTAACACGTCCCCCGCCGCTCAAGCTGCTGTCCGTGTAAATCAGGCTAATTAAATCAGAATGCGGCATTAAAAGTTTATGGTGGCTGTGGGACGGAGGAGAACCCAGAACATTAATGTAATCATTTGCCATAAATTTGCATTTATGACGCGTCTTGCGCACGTTGTCGTAGCAATTCATTTGCCGGTCAGCGATCCTGTCATCTCAGTGCTCAGAGTACAGGACTTAGAATACAGGACTCGGGACAGAGGACAGGGGAAAGGACGAGGTGGCATATTAATTAAAGTGTCGCCGCTAATGAGTTAGATTAAAGCGGCCAGATGCGCGTGTTTCCCGGCATCAGAGCATCAGAGTTCTCGCTTTCATTCCGTTCGAGCGTGCGTGTAATTGGCAATATCTGCTGGCCAGGATTAAGCCGCTGAATCTGTGTTGGTGTGTTTGTGTTGGTGTTGGTGTGGCCAAGGATGTGGGCCTCGGCTCTGGGACATTCATTAAGCTTTTTATGCACGACGTCGCCTAATGTGCCGGGTTTCCTCTCTCCCTTTCCCAATTTCTGACAATTACCAGGTCTGGCTCAGAAAAGTATGCTACAATAAACTTGATTGCGATTTGCGGCTGCGGATCTGCGTTTGTTGGCCAAATTGAAGCCGATTAGTAATAGGTATATATTAAAAGAATCGCTCTGTTAAGTTATGGATTTATTCTTGCCATAAAATAACCCAATTACAACAAGTCGTATTATTTACTTAGAACTGAAAGACAAATTTAATACAAAATACATTTAAAAGATAAAGAACTAAATAAATTATAAAGAAGGGAATGCCATATTTTCCCGTCTGGTTTTCTTGTAATTCCTTCGCCTTTCTTTGATTGAGTTGCTTTCTGGCGTAAATAATTTAAATTGGCGAAACTTTTGCATTCAAAAGAGGAAATCCTTGGACAGAAACAAGCAAATATCAGACGTCTCATTTTAACATTTCAATGCGCCAAGAAGGGCAAAAGCGAAAGAAGAAAATGCTCAAGAAAAATGTGCACAACAGCCATATATCAGAATTATTCAGCAATAACTATGGAAATAACGAGCGAGTCGTCTATTATCTTTTTCCGGGAGCTGCAGCTGATAAATAAAATAAATTCACATATTAAATGTGAAATGTAAACTTTCTGCTGGCACACATATTTTATGACCCTGCACCCTGCACACTCGCCAACTGACATTATTAATACTAATTTATACACAGGCACGGGAATCTCGATGTGTTTGTAATCTTATTGCGGCAGTTGGCTTTTAAATGGCCTACACAATTGCCGGGGCTCACAAAGGTTGGCCGCAATGTGGAAAATTTGTCTTTTCACTTATACGAGTGCTGCATGTGCTGGTGGGCTCATAAATGTTTTATGCGGTTATATCCGACATTTATTTGCTTGACAAAACGTTAACATCTGTCACACAGAAGAGCCTGCAAAGCCGTTCGGAATGAAATTCTTCTACTGGTATTGATTTTCCGGAATCGAGAATTTAATTAAACCCTTTCGCCGCCCGATGTATTATCAATAAATTTGTGTGCCAAAACCATAATCCCCGCCCGTATTTGTAGCCCCGATAAATCGAAAAGCACACATACACACAGTTGATGGCCCCACAAAGAAAGGTGGATCGCAGCAGGGATGGCAGGAAGTGGCTCACTGCCAGTGGCATCAGCTGCTGCACCACAATCCAGCAGCCGGCCACTAAATTGTGGCACCACCTGGCACACGGCCATCTGGCTGGCTGGGAACTGGGCGGTATCATCATACCGCTCTCGGCGCCCAGCTCTCCGTTCATAGCTTCCAGCTCCTAGTTACCTGCCCCCCAGCCTTCAGTTGCCCCTCTGCCAGCCATAACCTCCGGCTGACTGCACTTCCAGAGCCCGGCTATAAAGCCTTTGCATCGCAAATCCGGAGGCTGTGGCTGCTGTGGCCCGGCTGACTGATGGCCAGGTGAAGCCTTCAGCGCTGGGATTAAGCGGGGTGGGCAGGAAATGTGTGGACACTGAACCAAAAACTATAACTCATTGTCCTTACTGTGAAAGGCTTTCGTAATTAAGTAGTTATTTTTATAAGTATCGAATTAGAGAATTTCTAGTCCATCGATATGGCTATTTATTTTAGGTAATGTGTATTAACGGAGAGTTTTAAATAAATTTTATAAATTAGAACAAATCTCACTTTTTATCACTTTTAATATATTATATAATAACTCTTAAAGAATGACATGTAAAAAAATCAATTTCACACAACTTTAAGTTTTTGAAAATCATTAGATATTTATAGATTATACTATGTAATTCTTCTTTTAATAACATTATTAACATTCCTAAATAATTTTACATAATCTTAAATGTATCATAATTTTTTATATTTATTAAAAAGTAAAATATTTTTTCGATTTATAAGCCACAACTTAAAGTGCAAACAGACAATTTTTTCAAAGTGACTTTAGCAGTTTTGCTTTAATGAAAACTTTCATTTGAGCGAAATATCTAGTTTCATTATTGCAGTCGGCAAACAGAAAGTTGCCAGCAACCCGAATTCGTCGAAAAGCCGTCGGGAGAGAGGAGAAATTCGCTTTTAATTATTTACGGCTAAACAGAAAGTTGGCCACAAGGAAGAGAGCTGGCCGCAGGAGACACTTTTTGTGCCATGGACACACAAAACTTTTCGCCGAGTTACGTTTGCCCGGGTTCTCCAGTATCCAGTATCCAGCGCCCTTATTTCATTTTGGCGCCGGGGGGAAAATATGGTCGGTGTCGAAGCATTTGAGAGTTTCCTTCGGTTCGGTTCCGTTTGCAATTCCATTACTTTAATGTGGCAGGAAGGAAAGGGAAAACTTTTAAATCTTTATTTATAAAAGCTTCCGCACCGGCGGGGCAACTTTTGTGTGTGAGTGAAAATGAAATAATTCCAACAGCCGCAGCTTTGCGGTGGGCCATGCGGTTTTCCCTGGCCACCAGAAGAACTATGCCAGCCAAACTTGCTAAATGCCCTGACAAAACTTTTGCCTTTCTCCCAAAATCCAGGAGGAGAAGGGTGAGGGGGAGTGGGCTCCATAGCTTAATATATGTTTGCAGCTTAAGTTGGCTTACGCCTAAGACGTGAAAATTGTTTAGCTAATTCATCGCCTTATTCTATTTACTTGCAGTGCATGCGGGCCTACGTGGAGTTCGAGATTTCCGAGGGCGCCTACGAGATCTCCTGTCCGGATGCCAAGTGCCCGGCTCAGGGCGCCATTTCGCTGCCCGAGATTGCGAACCTAACGACAACGAATCTGCTGAAGAAGCACCATCGCTATCGCCTGAATAGAGGTGGGTTTTTCAGGGGGAATCCCTTGGGCTGAACCTACTAACTGCTAATATTTTCTTTGTTTTTGGTGCGACAGAAATCGAACTGGACAAGACGCGCACTTGGTGTCCGCGGGCTGGCTGCGAGACCATCTGCATGGTGGGTGGAGCGGCGCAGGCGGGTCAGTCCGGCGCCATTTGCCAAATGGACGAGTCGCCGTCGACCTCGCAGAGCTACAGCCCACAGCAGGAGGCGGCCGGAAGCGGAAGCGGAAGCGCAGGTGGCGCAACCGGAAACGGGGCAGCCGTGCTCTCGGTGTCCGTGCACTGTCCCTCCTGCAAGGACGAGTTCTGCGGCCTCTGCAAAAAGGCGGTAAGTGTGTGAATATATTCCCTTTTTTTGCGGTTTGGCCATCAAAAAGAAACAAGTGTTTATTGTAAGTTTTGTCAAAATATGCATCAGATTAAACGGAAAAGATATAAGTATCTAACAATGCTCTTTAACAAATAATATCAATAAAAAGAGCTTACATTTTAAATATTTCAGCCTTGCTGGTTTTAAATGTTACTCATTATTTGGCTTTACAAAACAAGCAGAAACTAAAACAAAACATTAGAAAAACCCAAACAGCTTAACAAACCGAACATATTCACAAATATAATTAAAAACATGAATAATAATACTGACAACAAAGGGGAATTATAAAATCAAATCCCTAAAATCATGTAAAATCACGTGCTATTGTTAAACATGTTGTGTAGGCACGCAGATTTTAATATAAATTTAGATTTTTTTAAACAATATGCTGGTTTTGTTTTCATTTTGCAGTACCATCCAAACATTAGCTGCGATGAGTTTGGGCGACGACTGATTGCCGATGGCCAGGACGACATTGGAATTCCGTTCGACAACGAGCTGATCAAGTGCTGCCCCATGTGCGCTGTGCCCATCGAGAAGGACGAGGGATGCGCCCAGATGATGTGCAAGCGCTGCAAGCACGTCTTCTGCTGGTACTGCCTGGCCAGTTTGGATGTGAGTGCCCTGAATGCAAAATGATTCGATTGTGTTATTCAACTTATAATCCCCCAGGATGACTTCCTACTGCGCCACTACGACAAGGGACCGTGCAAGAACAAGCTGGGCCACTCCAGGGCCTCCGTGGTGTGGCATCGCGCCCAGGTGATCGGAATCTTCGCCGGCTTCGGCATCCTGCTGCTGGTGGCCTCACCGCTCCTGCTTCTGGCCGCTCCCTGCATCATCTGCTGCAAGTGCCGAGGGTGCAGCGGCTCCAAGATCGACGAGGTGGACGGCGAACTGGAGGAGGAGGTGACCGCCTTGCAGGGCTAGGTGGCTCGACCGACCTCCCAAGTGGGCACCAATCCATATACGACATTAGGCTGCAGCCTGTAAATGCAGCTGCTGTAATTACTGGTAGATTCTATTGTTAACGACGACGAGAAGATTACGTACATTTATTTTAGTTATTACAATTATAATTGTATATGTGTTAACTAAATTGTGATATTTACAGTGATTCGATTTCTAATTGAATCGACAAATTTGTTGAGAACCTATACAAAGACCAGACGCCTTCGATTCTTTTTAGGTTCTGTCTCTACATACGAGTATATTCTTTCCTCCCCTAACTACACTTACGAATACAAATATTCGCCTAAATCAATCTGTATAAATCGAGTAGGTCCTCTTTATAGCCGATAAGTTAGTCTAAATATATTAGGAGTACGCCTCGTATTTCAACAGTGCTTTTATATCGCACCCACCCAAACAAAAAGAACCCCACTCACCCACTCAATCCTTCTCTCAAGTATTACGCATGCAACTAATAAGCCCAAGATCCTTGGGCCACTTTGATTAACTGCTTGGCAATGCTTTTATCTACGCAAACATATATATACTGCATATATAGGAGGTGTATATGATGTCACTACTACTGTTTATTAAATGTATTTAAATGTAAATGTTAATATGCAGCTAAAACAAATGTAAAACAGATCGCTGCTCACCGAGTGCACATCCAAAAACTGGCTGTGTGCCAGTTGGGCAGAGTTTGGTTAATGTAAATTATTGAATTATTTAATGCATATACACTCGGAACACATATATCAAAATACGTATGACATAAAAGTGCGTGTATATTTAAAAAAAAAAAAAAACATATTTAAACTCTACTCTTAATGTGAACAACTACCGCGTATGCTGTTTGAAATAAAAATGTTAAAAGAAAAGAGTGCAAGCTAATTTTTATTGTAAACGGAATGCATCTTAGGTAAATATAATGGATTGAATCGAGTAAACCTTGGTTTGACAAGCGGTTTTGGAAAAAACTTCCAGTGTATTAAACACATATGATTGTTGTGATTGCTTTCTAAGAAGTAGTAGAACAAAACATTTGATATTGATAATTTGTTGCAACTTGCAAACACGAGTTTTGAAACCGATAGATTGTATTCTTCTTGGAACAGTACCAATTGTAATTTTCAGACCAATTGGGGTATGGTTTTCCTCTAACTTGCTTTTCCGTCTCGTCTGTGACAGGTGCATTAAAAATATCTTGACAATCTTGCAGTGATGGCTTAGATCTTGAATAAATAATCGAATTAAAAAACAGAAGAAATATGGCACAGCTCGTTCTCCAAACCTTTCTTTTGTTTGCGGCGGCTCTTGTCCAGTGTGTCATCGTCTTCAGAATCGGAGGAGACGGGCTTCTTGCCATTTCGATAGTGAGTTGCGCTTACTCTTTTTGGAAGTGTTAGGGAACGTTTCAACGCTATTCGGAGATGTTTCCGAACTAAGGGCTGTGCGGGCTTTGTGTTTCGGCAACGGCTTTTTCCCAGAGTTCGGATGTGATGTTTTAAAGACGTCGTCGATAGTGCCTACCTCCTTTTGTAAATCCTTCTTTGTATTGCGGCGACTCTTGTTCAGTGTGAAATCGTCCTCGGAATCCAAGGAGACGGGGTTCTTGCCATTTTTGGCGACCGCTGAAGTGCTCGATGGTGAGAAGTTGCGCTTGTCCAGCTTGCGCTTTCTCGCTTTCTATCAGATGATGGCTCCGAACGAAGGGCTATGCGTGTGGATTTGCGTTTCGGCGACGGCTTTTTGGAAGGCTCAGCACACAGATTGCTTAACCTTCCAAAAAGCCGTTGCCGAAACGCAAATCCACACGCACAGCCGTTCATTCGGGATATTCATCTGAAGGCGATGATGGGATGTCGTCCGCATCCTTCTCATCGGCAGAACCGTTTCTGCGTTTTTCGACAACTGTACTGTTTCATTTTAAGCAACGATATCGACTGTCAAAGTTAAAATCACAGATTGCTTGAATTTATGCTAAGCAATGTAATTTGATAAACAAGAATAAAATTATAATATGAATTAACCACTATAATATATTAACCATACAATAATGCCTTCTTTATAAATACTAACGAAACGTTTGTTTGTTTTTAAGTTTATTGAAACACAACCTGAAACACTGTTTTTAGTATTTTTGATTGACTTATAGTATTTTAATCCACTCTGCAGCAACAACTTGAGATGAAAGATGCTTTATTTATCGTCGGTTCTTCCACTTTTAATCTACAAATTGTAAGCTCAGATTGCTTAACGTAAATTTAATTTAAATATCGGTTTTATTTTCAAATTACTGGTTCAGTTCATAACAAACATGTAGCAACGTTGAAATTGGTTTGTGGCCGAGATAGTTGTTGCCCCAAGCAACAACTTAAGATGAGATGATATGGATGTAGAGTCACCCTAAACCTGCTTGCTGCAAAATTGTAACTGTGGTGCACTGTATAGTAAAGATAAAAGATGTACACTGCTTGTTATCCGTATGAACTGCTTTAAGGGGAATTGAAAAGAAGTGAACTGATGGATTTTTTAGTGTGAGTTTAGTGTTGCTGGAGAGCATTTGGGCGAAAGCTGTTTTACCGTCTGGCAACACTTGGTTTTGGTTCCTCCTCTCGAGATATTAGATTGCCGGCATTGTTATTAACCGATTTTAAGCGATATTTTGAGGATAAACTCAGTAACTGGGAATAAGGATACATAATAGCCAGTCGCCATGGACGACCAGGCGTGCCCGCGGTGTAAGACCACCAAATACCGCAATCCGTCGCTCAAACTGATGGTCAACGTTTGCGGCCACACTTTGTGCGAGTCTTGCGTGGATTTGCTGTTCTTGAAAGGATCGGGCGCTTGTCCGGAGTGTATGGTGCCTCTGCGGCGCAACAACTTTCGGGTCCAGCTCTTTGAGGATCCCATGGTGGAGAAGGAGGTTGACATTCGCAGGCGAATCCTGCGCGACTACAACAAACGTGAGGAGGACTTTGCGTCCCTTGCGGAGTACAACGATTACCTGGAGGAGATCGAGGACATTGTGTACAATTTGTGCAACAACATCGAGATCATCGAGACAAACAAGCGGATTGAGGCCTACAAGCGGGACAATCGCGAGGTCATCCAGCGCAACAAAACTCGTGTGGGTCGCGATGAGTATGCTCTGGAAGAGATGCTGGAACTGGAGAAAGTGCAGGAAGAGGCGCGTCGGAAGGAGCTCGAGGAGCTGGAAAACGAGCATAAGAAGAAGAAGGCCCGCGACAAGCAGGCTCTGATTGAGGAGCTGATGTATAGCGGCAAGGACGCTGCGCAGATCGTGACTGAATTCGCTGAAAAGGCGGAAAAGCAACGTGAGGAGGAAAAGCAACTTCCTCCACCGAAGCCAGCCAACGAGTTCTCCACGGGCATCAAGTTCGGCCAGACAGCTGACCCCAGTCTACTGCCCGTTCCCAAGTCGGAAGAGGGTCCACTGTTTGTCTACGAGCCCCTGATTGCCATAACTGAAGGACCCGCTATGCCGTCCAGCAATGAGATCATGGCAATGGGTTATACAGCACACATACGAGCAGAGACGCCGCAGGAAAATGCTGGTGGATTCACCTCGACTGTGGCCTGCGAAAGGGCGCTCCAAGAAGCACTGCAGGGACTCTATTACACGGCCACCGCAGGAATAGCTGCAGTCACATAGTAGTCCAGTAGATAATGATTTTAGATGGTCGCACAACCAGAGCACAGAACGCTTACTTTTGTTGAACAATTGTGTCCTATACGAATCCATTCAGTTAACTTTTAATCCACTTAATATATATGTATGTTAATGAAATAAATGCTATATCCTATGTTAAAAGGAAGATCTTTGTGCCGTTTGTTTTTTCAACCTTAATTAGAAAAAGTCCGAACATTTTTAAACTACATGTGTTTTTAAAGGTTTATAGCAGTTGTTTTGCTCCGACTGGAGATTAAAAAGGTATTTTTGTTTTTAAAACTTCTTTGAATACTTTTTGCATACTTCAAATGTCGTTTAAAGCGGCCAGATATAATCACAGCTGCCCTTGGCAGCATAACATAAATTTTTCGTCCCAAAATAAGAGTTCTTTCTTTGATTACAGACTTGGTTTTATTTTAAATACTTTTAACAGTAAATATCTATAGGCATAATTCATATGCTAGATAAACATACATTGGATTTAATTGGGCTCTTTATACAATACACAGATTACAGTTAAATTTTATGGTAGTCCGACGAGTAGCTCGTCACATCCTAAGTTCTACTTGCACAGTAAGAGGTAAATGTGTTCTGCGATCGGGCCACTGCGAGATTTTGGCCACAGATGGACTATCCTAGCCAAGTACACGAACGGGTTAACTTAACGATCTAGGGGCAATGGGGCATGGGGAAGATTACAGAGTGCTGGACTGGTGACAATGAGTGCGATGGGGGTATATGGCTGCTAATACATTTGAAATGTCATAAACTTAACTATGATATACATGAGTTTTTTTGCATCGCTTTTAAGTTGATAAAATATACACAATTTAAATAAACTGGGTTAGAGGCATAATATGTGGGTAGATCACGCTCCTCGGGCCGGATGCCTCGAGCGATGCTCGTGGAATGTGGAAGCAGCGGCTGGCGATAAGTGCCAGAACTATCAAACGTTCGGTCGGTTCGCATACGCCTATTAGTTAGATGGTAGCGTAACATTTAATTTAGACATAAATTTCGATCTTAACAATCTAATTAAAATGTTAACATTTAATAATAGTTTTTCGCACACGCCTTTTGTTGATTATACATAGCTATTATAATTAGATTGGTTGCATGCGCTATGATTGTTTGCCAAACACTACTGATAGGTTTCTCGTTGACTCGATTTGCTTTGCTTTGCTGCACATTGCGTTCACATCCGAGTGCACTTGGTTTGTCTGGCTTTTCTGCTCCACTCGCGATTGTACAGTGTTTGGCTGACGTCCCATAATTCACAAATATCTGGGGCCTTCTTCGCCGTGTCCTACTTTCGTATTGCTAATGGTGTTTTGTGGGTGGCTGCGCAAAGCAAACATCAGCAGGCAGTAGTCATAAATTGCACTTCTAACTAAACAGAATCGTCTGCAATAAACATTTAGAAGAGTAATAAGTATGTGCGCTCGTAGTGGAATATCACGCATACGCACCGTGGTACCACCATTTAGTCTTTTTGGGATTCTTATTGCAGGTCTTTACGTAGAGCGTGTTGTCCGGCGGACGCTTCTTCTCGCGGCAACTGCTCAACATGGAGGCTATGCTAAGGCACACGGATTGCACCGACAGCGCCGGCGACCAGTCCTCGGTCAGAATGGATAGGCAGATGTGTCCATTGCTGTAGACATGTGGATGCACGGGTATATTGCTGCCGATGAAGGTCACCTGGCGAAGGAGAGAAAAATGGTTAAGCTCACCTTCATCATCCCTTTGTTTAATTATTACCTCTGGCGAATCGAAGGGATATTTATTGTTGAATTTGAACAGCAGCTGGAAGTCCTCGCCCTCGTAAAGCGTGCCCTCGAAACCTTTAATGTTTATTTTCCATCTGTAAGCCGAAAGAAAAGAGTTATGAGTGCCAGCCTCCAACAATTACGGGCTTTGTTTTCGGAGCAAGTTGCTGAATTAAGCTTATTTTTATTTTTGCATTTTGTGCTTGAATTAAACCAGTTTCAGTTTTCGCTGAACTTGGCCCACTCTGCTCCGTAGTCAGTACTTACTCGGATAAATTTTGCTGTACGCTTTCGGTGTCAACGGTAACGCCCGGCGGCGGCTCCTTGATCAAGGACATCAGCTCTTTGTGCAGGCGGCGCTGTAGGGTGAAAATAAAAAAAGGAGACATGAATTAGTAAATGACTCGGCCATTTATTGGTCTATCTTATCGCAGAGCCCACCTACAGCTGGGCCTACTTCTACTTAAGAGTTCTAAATACGTATTTTTTCCGCCCATCTTATCTGTGCGCCATTTCTTCTGCGGCTTACAACTGCCAATATACTCTATGCGCCGTACTATATACATAATACACACATATATGGCGCAACGCACGATAAGATAAAAACAAATGTCACTGAAATTTATAGAACAGTCGATTGTTTTTCCGTCTTTCGGCGCTCTCTTATCGAGTGATTCCCACTTGCAGGGCCATTTTCGAGACCATAAACAAGTTCGAACGTACAAAGTCAATTCCGCCATTCTGCCACACAATTGAGCTGCTGATAGACGGTTTGATCGATAAGGACAGTAATTTGCAGAAGCAGGAACAAAAAGCAAATCTAAGAAAACACTCGAAAAAAGGAGAACTGAATAACACAGATTTCTTGAGGCTCAAAATGCTACACACCCATGACGCAATAGCAACACAATATATTTTCGAACAGCCGTTCGAACGCGATATGTGGCCAAAGTTCAGGTTTTATCTCTCGAATTGGATATACTTGCCTCCCATCGTGAGTTGTCCAGCTGCAGCGGCTTACCGCATTTGGAGACCGGCGGTGTTTTTGGTTCTTTGGGTTCGGTTATGATCTCCGACTTGGGTATTTTGTCTTTTGGCTTCTTGAATAGCTTCAGCATTTTGTATTCTTTGTTCTCACAGTTGTTCACCAAACCGAATGCTAGTTCTGTCACTTGGTTCACTTCTCAGTATATTTCACAGATTTTTCCCGAGTTGCTAGACGACTAAATTGTCAATTATGTGTGTTAGTTATTTCTACACTTCAATATGCCAGCGCTTTTCCCAGGAGACGAGAGTGGGCGAGGGGCGTGGCGGTCATTTTATTCGCGAAACCGATTCTTGTCGACCAACTGCGGCAACGTTCGTGGGACGACTGCAGGAAAGCGCCGAGAAATTGTGGGAGAGACTGCAGGGCGAGTCGAGTGACGAAGCCCGACGCTTGCGACGTGTTTCTGTGTGCGTAGCCGTCGTCGCATTCGGCACCTCACCAACAAACCAACCCGCCTCCAACCCGCTCCCACCCGATCTATATAGCTTTTTTCACTATCAAAAATGAGAATTCGCAAGTGCAGCAAAACGGCCCAAACTAGTTTGTTAGCCTCAACAACTTGCCTGCACAGCTGGTTTGGGCTTAAGCTTCGTTTTCGATTCGGGTTGGGATCGAGTCTCCCAGATCACGAGATGGTGGCTCTCGGACCCCGCCACCCGCCACCCGCAAAAGTTATTGGCAAAAACCCTTATCGGAGCACTGCCTGGCACGCAGCCATTACCTGATAAGCTCACGATTAGATTACAGCGATAGGCATGCCGATAAGCAAATCTATATACAAACACTGAGAGTAAAATCTCTATGAAAAGGATTCTGGGTTCTGCAGAACAGAAAATTTAAAGCAAGGATTTTACAAACATAGATATATTTAGAAAACTTCAAGTTAAGTTTTTTTTTCCTTTTTATATCGACAGTTTTTTGTTGGGTGTTTCTCTTCATTTGTTTATTATTCAGACTTTGGAGTAGTATTTATTCAACTGTGTCCAAAAGTTTTCAAAACGTTTTAGGAATTTTATTGAAACTAAAGTTTTGTAAAAAGTTCTTAATTACGTATATTTATAATATATTATCGTGCCGTTTTTATTGTTGCTGTTTTAGAAGGTTGTAAAAGGTTTAACCACATTTTCCTCAGTGCAAACACTCAAACAAAAGGGAAACAAGTGTTCAAGATAGGGGCATACGTCAATGGGGCATGCATTTCAATTGATGGAAGATCTCATTCTTCAGCTTTTTGCATTGAAATGAAGACGAGCGGCTGCTCGTGATTAAAGCCAATCAAGCAGCGCCCTAGAAGATGATCGATTATATAAGTTAAACACTGGTTTACAGTAGAACGGGTTCTTAATGAAGCGACAGATCGACAACCACTTAGCACAGCCAATTAAAGTGGTCCCATAAAATCGGTTAGTTCCGCGCCCAGATAGCAAAATGCGTGTTGGACCCCAAAGGCCCCCAAATGCGAAATGCGAAATGCTCAGCATTGAAGTGGGCCAGACCAATAAGCACGCGTCTCACTCTGCGGGTGTTACTTTCGTTTATTTTAGACTCAATCAAATCTAGAGAGCAAAACAAAAGCTGCTTGAATCACCCCGAAATAAATAAATAAAATGCAACCGAATGCCAAAGTCTAGGAAAAGAATACTGTCGGGGAAATTTTATAAGCTGGCTGGTTAGCGCGGAAACAAAAAACAAAACAACAGCAAAAGAATGGACTCGAAAAATTCTTCGGCAATAAAAGCCAAGCAGAGTGTAAACAAATAAACCAGCGACTACCAGACTTTGGGAGCGGCGAAAGGGGGGCGTCTGTTTTTTATTTATTTCTTATTTTTGCAGAATATTTTTTGGGTAAACAAAATGGCTGATGAATAAAGCGTGCCATAGCCGAAATCTTTGTGGCTGATAAACGTTTTGGCAGCTGATAAAACCGCAAAATTTCGAGGTAAGAAAGAGGGTGAAGGACGATTAGCGTGGAAATAAACATTTGGGATGTGGGTGGCAATGGGAGATGGGGAAACTAAATTGAAATGAAATGGGGGCGGGCATGAGTCACGCCCCTCGGAAACATTTTGGAAATCGCCACCAAATCACAGGCCAACCTTGGGCTGTGAATCACAACACGCCCGGGCCAAAATAAACAAACCCAAGCCAGGCCAGCACTCTCGCCAAATTATGCAACTGGGAGGCCCAACGGCCCGGCCCCAAAGCCATATAAAGCGATTTCCTGTACCGGAGAAATGCTAAGCGCATTACATTTAGGGAGAAAGCGGAAGAGCCGAGGGGCGGGGATTGATTATACAGTCGCTGCAACCTTAAACTTGGCAAACGAGCCGCCTGCCCTTCGCTGGCGGTCGATAAATCATCACCTACGTCACTATTGTGCACTCGTGACGTCAGAGATCGTGCTTTTGGGGCGTTATTAATAAACGAAAACCTGATGCGCCAGTTTTGGCTTTTTCATCTTTTGTCGAAGAGAGCGGCAATCGACGTGTGTCACGTTCGCGGCGGATGAGCAACAAGTTCTAGACCGCTTCTAGAGCATCTCCTTCGGCAGATTGCCGCTGATACCAAAGCATATAGCTCTATAGAAATCTTGGAAACGTAAACCATCGAAACGAGGACGTGTCGTTGGGAAAGACATGTGAAAGAGGCGTGCAATTACAACAAGCGAGTCATGTTGCTGAGAGGAAAGACAACGGCGATCGCAGTAATTATATTAAAATTAATTGAAATGTATCGCAATTTGCAAGTGCTTTATACACAAAGGTGTTTCTCCGCTGTGATTAAGACGTTCTTTATTAAGGGGCTAGTGGAAAACAGCCGAGGAAAGTGGCACATCGCTTCAATCGCGATTAAATTGCGCAGGTATATTCCTATCTGATTAAGTCAAATGGTCAGCAATCACGTTTCGCAGGTCAGCGACTTCGGAAATCCTCCTATTTTATCTGCCTTACCAAGGGAATACTTTCAAACTGATTAATTGCTGTTCTGTTCTGTTATATATGGCTTTCGATACTGCCTTTTAAACTCCCCCATTACTCGCTTTTTGCTCCGGGGAGTGCTAATAAGGCAAATCACTTCCTTATTGCGATGCTTTGTTAGGGCTGATTTTCTTTGTTATCGGATCGCGAAATATGCCCATGCATATTTCATGATGCCAGATCGAATTGGAGGCTTGGTACTTCTTAATTTTCAAAAACAGTAGAGTTTCAGTAAATTTTAATGAAACGAAAGTCGAATTTAAAAACTAATTCAAAAGGATGAGGATAGTTTTGAAACACAGTTCACTTATTTTCTTTGTGCTAAAGATCTTATTAAATTTACAAACCAAAGATCTTAAAATGTGACGAATATATTTTAAGCAATAGAGGCTTGACTGTAGATTCCTGTGTTTCAAAACATTTTAAACTGGTTCTGTGGACTGGTCGCCGTAGATTTCTGTTTATTTATAGAGTCCTAATGCGTAACTAGCAGCTGGGAGCGCCGGCAAATTAAAATGCTGAGCGCGTGCCAAAAAATTTCGCAATTTGGGGGACGACAAGAGGATGCCTGGGAATAGCTGTCGGCCACCGGTGATCAATTGTTGGCTAATGGTTAACCTGCACAGTTTTAATTAAGATTATTTCGGTTTATGGTTTTCACGTCACGGAGAATTTGGCGGAGGCGCGTGCGAATTCGCGTGGCATCGAAAACTAAATGTGAGCTCCGTCTCACTGGCGACGAGCTGCTATTTTCGGCGGATGGGCGAGCGATCCGAGGCGTAAATATGAGAGTAAAATCTTGGGAGAAGTGATGTTGGTGATACACTTGGTTTCAGACATAGTAAAGTATCGTTATTAAAACTACCCGTCTTCTAAAAACCTATGCAAGGTTTATTTAAATTATTTTTCGATATGGTTCAGGGAAAATATTTACTTCTCGGCAAATTACAAAGTAACTAAAATTTGCAATGCAATTTACAGGTTTTATTTTTAACGATCTAAAAAACTATATATACGATATGTGTGTACGGCTTGGAAACACATATGTTTTACGTTGACATGAGGCAAATTTGTACGTATTCTAAAAATTTAGTGACTTACAGGGATTTTTCCAAAGCGAATTCTTAAATATTCATTAAAATATTAATTTTCAGCTTTGTTCAGCTGTTAACAAGTTCTGAGTCATTTGGTTGACATTTATATGTATTGTAGATTATGCCAATTTAAGGATATTCTTTACAAAAATCCCTCTATAGAGATAGACGCTATACAATAGCGTTGGTAAATGAATTTTTGTATTTGATAAACAATTTGCTAAAGTAGTGAAACTTGATCTGTACCTAGGCACTCCCATCTGAAGTTGGGAGCAGCATAGACACCGATGAGCTGGCCAGGATCGAAGGTCTTAGCCACAATGCAAGTGCATTGTTTACGTGGTATAAACAAGTATTCAGTCAAAGGGAATGTGCAATGGATGCCGTGTAAACATTTGTCCATTGGGAGACGGATGTCATTGGTGTGTTAGTGGGATAGTGGGTGGCACAAGCAGCGGATCGATTGCCGGGTTTGTAATTAGCGACCGGGGTCAGACGACCTCGAGCAGTTGAAACCAAGCAATTATATAATAAACGAAGCGGGGCTCAAGGAAGCTGGAATTGGCTTATCATCGCAGAGCGCTGCGTCACTTTTTCAGCTCAGAATCAAATAAAACGATAAGATGACGTTGAACCGTCTCAGTGGAAACTGAACATGATATTGCGGAAGGAAAACCTTCTGGTCTTGTAAACATTTGCCCAGATGTAACGCGGAACGGTCGCTACAATCTGCTATGTTTCGTAGCAATCTTAAGACCTCAAAAGAACTCACCTCGCTGGGCGACATTGAAGACATACTACTGGTCCTGGGGAAATCTGTTCTGACACTCCTGCCGCGTCCTGCTCCGAATGGTAGTTCTGGTTGATCGGCTCACTGGCTATTGTACGGTTTTCCTTATCCTGTTTGGCCGAAATCGTGGAATTCCTCCGTTTTATTAGTTTTATTAGGCAAATTGTTATTAGAAAAATAAATATCTGAGTGGACAGTGTGACCCTCGGGGCAGTGTTGGAAAATGCCGAAGCATCGTACGTACCAACTATGTACGAAACAAAAAATACCGCAATCAGCTGTTTAAAGGTGCTGGTATTTTTTGAGGAGATGCTTTTGGCAACGGTTAACAAAGAATTTGATTTGAACGGAAATTAACTGATAAAATAACTGAAAATTCAACTTGGCAGTATCGTTTGACAATTAAGTCTGAAAAATTTTTGGGAATATTGTTTTGAGCTGCACAAAAGCAGGTGATTGTAGGTGGTGTGTAAACAGCTGATTCAACACAGGCCTTTTGATGTACAGTGAATATTCATAAGAAAACCCCGAAAACCAATAACAATAAGCAGCTTCATAAAACTCTTATAATATAACAAGCAAAAATAAGGGTATGTAATAATTTCTGGGTCAATAAACACAATTTACCAAAAATTTTATTGTTGAATTACCTTGAAAAATTTTAAATTGCAAGCTGTAAACTCATCTTAGACATGGTACACTGTACACAACCATAATAAAAACAATGGAAGAGAGCGTTTATTGCACCTTTGATAGGGAGCAGTATAGTTTATCTCTGGGGGCGCGATGGTGAGCGGATTCAACCGGCTGATAAGCTGCAGCCGCTACAAGTTACTTTAAAATACATGGACTGCAAATCGCAGCTGTCAGTACCAAACTGACTTCCATTGGAATTGAATTAACAAGTCGATCCAGAATGCATTTCGGAGTCTTAGGTAGTGGCATTATCGGTCTTACGACCGCCTTGGAACTTCAAAAGGAGTTTCCCACTGCGCGTGTTTCCATCATTGCGGATCGTTTCAATGAGGATACGGTTAGCTATGTGGCAGCTGGAATCTTCCGACCGGGCACCAGTTTCATGGGCCCCACCCAGGAAATTACGCAGTGAGAATCTGATTTTCAGCTTGGCCTAATTAAACAATAATCAGTGGTCTACCTTCCCAAACAGACAATGGATGACGGATGCCTTCAATTACTGGGACGATCTTCGCCGCTCTAAGGAGGCTCCTTTGGCGGGAGTGTGCCAGTTGTCCGGCTATATCTACTCCCGCACCTCGCCCTCCATCGTACGGGTATGTTGCTGAGTGGGCCCTTATCAAAGGTTGTTATCTCAGTTAGTTTAATTCGATTAACTTTCTGTTTGTTGCTTTAGAACCATTTTATTGAGAAATTGCTGCCTGTCTATCGTCAAGCTACGGAGGAGGAACTGAAGCTATGTCACGGTGGATGGAAGTATGGATCCTTCTTCACCACCTGCCTCACTGAGAGCCGTCTTTTCCTGCCCTATGCCACCAAAAAGTAAATAGCTGGTCTGCTGTTCTGATTTTTACTCGCTTTGAATTCAAACGTTCTTTATTCCTTTAGATTCCTGGAGAACGGAGGTGAGGTGGTACGTCAGCATGTGAAGAACTTCTTCGAGGTGCCTAAGAGCTTTGACATACTGCTCAATTGCACTGGAATGGGAGCAAAAGAGTTGTGCAGTGATCAACACCTCGTGCCCATCCGAGGGCAGGTGCTCAAGGTGCGAGCTCCCTGGGTGAAGACAGCCTTCTATGGCGACTACGACACTTATGTCCTACCCGGATTTGAAACAGTCACTTTGGGAGGATGTCGCCAGTTCGACAGCTACAACACGGAGTGGTGCAAGTACGACAGCATGGCTATCCGGGAGAGGTGCTATGATCTTCTTCCCAGTCTCCGAAAGGCGGAGATCGTCCGGGAATGCGTTGGCTTACGTCCACATCGGTCGGTGGTGCGGGTGGAACCGGAGTTGATCACAAATCCGGAGGGCAGGCGGCTGAAGATCGTTCACAACTACGGACACGGTGGCTATGGCGTGACTACTGCTCCGGGAACTGCAAAATACGCAGTGAGCTTGGTGCGCGATCTGCTTGCTGGTAACAGCAAACTATAGGTAGTAAATTGATTGTTAATTGTTGGTCATTAAACTGTTTATGCTCAGAATCTATGAACTTTGATTTGATTTTGCTTTATAAACGGTTCCATAAAAAGAGAAAAGTATTCAAGGTTATAGACAAACGTGTGAAAACTAATTTAGAGGTTTCGATTTAAGTTTTATTAATAGTTAATAACTACTCAATCCACCGTTGACTAAATAAGTTTAATAAATTCAAAAATTTAAAAGCTTAAATGCGTAACAAACGTCTACAATTGAGCTGGAGAAAAAGTTTTTATAAAAACACAGGAAAGTTTAAATTAAACTTTATAACTAGGAGCAACAGGGAAATATAGTTTTTAAAAACAATGAAGTTTTAAAATAATGATATTTTTGTTCTAGCTGTAAAATCAATCAAATGTTTAATTTTGATTTTTTAGTAATTTAAGTTGCATGTGGCGCTCATATATGACTTCAAATTAACCATTTGGCCAGTCAGTGTTCGAAACACCTCCAGAAAATATAGTGCGCATGACCGGCGCATGAATGGAAAGCTCGTCCTGAATTCGCCGCGAAAGCTACGCCCACACACGGACAACCCAGGCACGGAGACCCATCGATTTTCAGCAGCAGGAAAAGCAGCAGGGAAATTGTGTGGGCAGCAGCAGCCAGTCAGCCAGCTAGTCAGTTAGTCAGCCAGGTTGAAACAGTTAAATTATGAAAACGTATACAAAACTGGTCTGTTTTCGCCGCATTTGTCAATTCGCCGCCTGAGAGCGAAGGAAAAATTGTGTGTCCTTTGGAGTCGACGTGTCGAAGTGAAAAGGTAAAACAGTTGCTGCGTCGCATTGCATCTGCTTCCTCCGCTGAATTATTGAGTAATTGAGCCACTGCAGCCAGCATTAATAAATCCTGGGCAGACGAAAGTAACGCGGCCGTGTGAATAATTTATTGGGTAGCCCGTAAACAAATCGACGGATCCATTGACGCGGAATCGCGACGTATGCCAGTCCAGTGCCAAGGCTGAGTCGAGTCCTTTTCCTTTTCCCCAGCGAAAGGAGCTCAAATTATCGATTTGTGTGTATGTGCGAGCAACAACACGGCGTACCACTCACCCACACGTCAACAACAGCAGGATATTCTTGTGGCAGAAGGATCTGTAACAAAAGCAGCAACTAAGCCAGCAGCAACATCTGCAGCAACAACAACAACAACCGCAACAACCTCAAGACAGCGTAAGTGCAATTGACAGATTAAGTATACGTCACGAGTGACCGAAAGTCGGGGACTGGGGGTGCTATTCATAGTCAAAATCACAGAATGTTTTGAATTAAATTTCTACCATGTCAGTTCCATATTGCGATATTGTCGATATTAACTGCGCAGTCATTTCCAAGTTTTTTTTAAACATTTTAAACTATGTATACAGATAAGGCGAGATTATTTATTTCGATAAATTGTAATATGAAGATAAGCTCAGTTGTTGTCCGAAATAGTTGGTTACTAATTTGAAGTACCTATTGAAATATGCGGGACATACATTATCTTGTTGACAGAAGATATGCGTTATTTTAATAACACTGTTACGGAAATTTCAATTTTGCTTAATTTTTCGTGTTGTAGAAAATTATACCAGAACCCAAACAATATAAGAAAATAATAGAATACGCATACATATGAAAACTTTGCTCGATATATTCTCATTTACTTACCACAAAAAATTGTAGCTTTCTTTCTCTGGCAACTGCATTAAAAGAATTGCCAAAGTATAGACTCAACTTGGGCTATTTTCGTTTGATACACACTCAATAGAAGTCATTAGAGCCAGCATTGAAGCAAGGTTTTGGCCAATATTGGGATTCTTATCAATAATTAAACTTGCCCGCAGCTGCTGTCCGCTGAACAGCTGCTTAATCATTGGAAATTTGAAACATGAAAGAGCAGTTAAGGGGGTGGGGGAAATGGGGGCCAGTCCATCGGCGGGGGATGAACAGCAGCCACCCCCACGCAGAGGGGAAACACAACAGAAAAAAATCGATAATTACACGCAGCCGAGCAGGTAAAAACATTTCCACACGCCGCCTCTGATAAGAGCTCCGTGTGCCAATTGACTCTCGAGCCTGTCTGCCGTCGGAGACCTCTGCTCCGCCCTTCCTCTTGGATTTGTTCCCCTCCAGGATATTTCTGGGCCTGAAGAGGCTTGACAGGAGCGGAGCCCGTCCTTTTGCCAGCAAAATCCTTGACGATGACGCGCGCACTCGGTCGTCGTTCCTCAAGTCGTTCATCAGCAATCTGACAGCATTTTGCCGCTGCGCAACTTTTGATTCGGCGTGATTCGGGGGGATGTGGTCCTGGGAAAACCAAGGATGAGCGGAAACGGAAGCAGGAGTTGACTATATACACAAATTATCGACACAATGTCGCTTGCTTGCATATGGAAAACAGCCCTCCAGCCAGCCAGCCAACCAACCAACCAAGCAAGCAAGCAGCCAACCATCAAGCCAACTAAGCAGCCATCCCGAATGGCAAACTGTAAGCCGAGTCTGTTGTCACTGTTGGCCATGCTAAGCCAAGGCTGAAAGTTTTCAAGGCCGCACAAGCCCACTTCCCTTTGAGTTTTCCCAGTGACGTGACAGGGATAATCAAGTGGGTCCTTTCGTTATGCCAACCCCTTTCCACCCTCCACCCGCCTCTTTATAAAGTCAAAGGGACTGGGGTCGGTTATGCTTCAGAAAATATAAACGCAACTTGTTTAATCCACGCGCACGCGATTCAATTGGTTCCCGGCACTCGGAGAGCAGCAGTTGGCCCCCAGTTGGCCTTGACCGGTGCTCCATGCTCTCCAACATGCTTCCCCTCCAATTCGGCGTGCAGCTTGGACCAGAATCCGAGTGTCTATGGGCATCCAGGATAGTTAGTAATGATATCCTCATTCAACCAGGTCGATGCATACCCCAATATTAACGCCATCGCCCATGCCGCAAACGGCATCGGCCTTGCAGCCATTTTGGGCAGTCATTCCCATCCCCATTCCCACTCCTCGGTTTTCCGGGACCATCAACTCCTCCGGCGCATCCAGCTGGAGGCCTATCTTTCCACCCAATGACTTGGACTCGGGGGAGCTGTTGAAGATCACAAGGCCAGGATTGCGAAGGGAACTCTGACTGGGCGAGTGCGAGGCTGAGGGGTCGATCATGGGTGGCTGCTCCTGCTCCCTCGGGGAGTCCTTGCGCATTAAGGTGGTCATGCAGATGCTGGTGTTGCTGCTACTAGTTATAATGGTAGTGGTATCGATGGTCTCCACCAACTGGCCCTCATCCTCGGAGGCTGCGATGGCTGCCGCTTCGCGTTCTCTTTCCCGCTCCCTCTGTCTCTGCATCTCCAGTTCCCGCTGCCGCTCCATCTGCAGTCGCTGCTCCTGCTCCAGACGCTCCTCCTCCTGCTCCTCCTGAGCCTGCTGCTGGCAGAGCTCCACATGGATGCGGGCCAACTGGGCGGCATCGTACGGACAGAAGCAATTGAGGTTCACCACCCGGTTGCCCATGTGCTGCACTGGCCTGCAGTTACGGGTTATGGGAGAAATCCCGTCCGGACCGAGGAGCAAGCGGAAGTGACGCAGCTGAAAGTCACTGATGGCCAGCGATTCGGGGAAGATGAACCACTCGGTGCCCTGGTAGCACGGAGGATGGGTCAGCGATCCGCCGTACGAGTAAAATCCGGTTCGGAATGGATACATCAGATAGGAAAGCGGAAATGGAGGAATCTGGACGCGCTTTCCTGGCTTTTGCACCAATCGCAAGTTCTGCACCAGCGGATCCAGGAACGGATTGTGGGCGGACAGCTCAAAGACATACCCGATCATTAAAAGGTCATAGCTACTGGTGCATTGCCTCGGGACTCCAGATCCCGCACGGTGCATCACCTGCATCTCCAGAGGGAACTTCCTGTGATTGATAGTGTGCTCGGATCCCTCGCTATTGCACCAGCCCCAGTGGAATCTCAGCTCCAGGAACGTGTAGCTGGCCAGCAGATCTGCTCCACTGATTGTCGGGGCATTTCCATGGAACTGGGCGCGGAGCACCAGCGTTTGGCCCGTGTTCTCCAGCTGGATGCTGGCGGGAAGATCATCGTAGTGGTTCCAGTTGAGCAACTCCCTAATGGCCAAACGCTGGATTTGGTTCTCATCGATGTTCACTGGACTCTGGAAGCAGGTTTCCTCTTCGATTCCCGATTTTTCCATCCAGGTGTGCGGACCATGGTCCATATCGTATCCATATCCCAAGGCAGGATACTTCGAGTATGAGCTGAAGATGCCTCCAAATCGCAGGGGCAATCTCATCCAAAGGGTCATGCGTTGGTAGGCCTCCTTGAGCGACTCCTGATCCGCGTGGTAGATTATCCCAGCCAATAGGCACAATCCCGTGGTCATTAGGGGATGCTGAATCATTTGTCCCAAGACCTGACCAACTATCAGGGAAATCAACTGCACAATCAGACCCAAAACCGTTCCCAATGTGGTGTCAAACATTTTTCGGCTGGCAGATCCGGATTTACATCGAGTGCAACAATTGCGGGGAAAAAGAAAGAATTTGCAAACACAGAAAAGTTCCAAACAAAAAACTCGAAACACAAAACTTTCCTCTCCCTTTAGTTTTTAAGTAATTTTTCAGTTGCTTTTGAGTCGTAGGTCTATGACTGTTCCTTAGGGAAATGTGTTTATGTGAATGAGTTCTTGAGGGTTCTACTGTCTTATAAACCAGGTGACAGATAAGCTTGGACTGCATTGATCGGTCGTTATTTAAACTATAGGAATTAAAACTACGCACTAAACGAACTAAAAAGGGTCACTACATTTTATATTTCTTGAATGGAGTACGGTTTATTTATATAGTTTTTATATAACTAAAGAATACAATAGATGATATATTTGTAAACAAACTTAATAGAACAGAAATAAATTGATGGCATGATGCACTCTTTCCAGCAGAAAACCCCTCTAAACAGACATAATGGCCAGTGGCGGGGACCCCAAGTGGCAGAAGGATGCCGCCGACCAGAACTTCGACTACATGTTCAAGCTGCTCATCATCGGCAACTCCAGCGTGGGCAAGACCAGCTTCCTCTTCCGCTACGCGGACGATAGCTTCACATCCGCCTTCGTTTCCACGGTGGGCATCGACTTCAAGGTGAAGACGGTCTTTCGGCACGACAAGCGTGTTAAGCTCCAGATCTGGGTGAGTATATATGGGTTACGCATTCGGGTCGCACAATGTGCTGCCTACTTTTATGGGCACTTAGGATGTGCACAACTTGTTTGACCTCGATTAGTTTTGTGGGGGCGAATGAATCATCCGGGCGAGAGCATTAAACCGGAAAGCTGAGACATTGATTTATTGATTGGGCATCATAATGGCAGAAGACGCAGGTGAGCGTCCTCTCGAGAGTCCTTGTGGCTCGAGTGGGGTCCGGATGGCAGACTTGTTTTCAGTAATCAATTAAGAAAATAGAATCAATTAAGAGAACACACCAGAGACCATTTGTGAATTAACTCATTAAGCTTTTTATGGGTTATTCATTAAAAGGCTGAAACTAAACCTGTTAATCTCTGTCCGCTAATAATCTATGGGACCGGCTTTTTATTCTTAACGTTTGCAGATTATAATGTGTAGTAGTAAACTTATTGATATCGAGCTAAAACCCATTTTTCTTTTTAATGAATAATATTCTTAGAATATATATTTTTAGTAAGTGCAAATAAAAACTCTTGACCTTGACATTGTACAAATTTATTCAGCGATATAGACAAACCTTTTAGCTTCTAAAGATTTTATTCTGTATAGCCTGTATACTTTAAAATCTAAAGACGTTTTGCAAAAAAGTAGAAATTCGTACCGAAAAGGAAGGAATTTTTTTTCCCAGAATATAAATGTTCTTATTCATTTGTGTTCTTCATTTTTAGGACACGGCTGGACAAGAGAGGTACCGCACCATCACCACAGCCTATTATCGTGGAGCGATGGGCTTCATCCTGATGTACGATGTTACTAACGAGGACAGCTTCAATTCGGTGCAGGATTGGTGAGTGTTTTTATATAATTTAATGCAGAATATCCCCTTCTAACTCTTCCTACTATTTCCCACAAAAGGGTGACACAGATTAAAACCTATTCGTGGGACAATGCCCAGGTGATTCTGGTGGGCAACAAGTGCGACATGGAGGACCAGCGCGTCATAAGCTTTGAACGTGGCCGCCAGTTGGCTGATCAATTGGGAGTGGAATTCTTCGAGACGTCCGCCAAGGAGAACGTGAACGTCAAGGTGAGTAGGGACTAAAGGAATATTAGTATATTACCAAATAAAAATCAACCGATTCCAGGCTGTATTCGAGCGCTTGGTGGATATCATCTGTGACAAGATGTCGGAGAGTCTGGACGCGGATCCGACGTTAGTGGGCGGTGGCCAGAAGGGCCAGAGGCTGACGGATCAGCCGCAGGGCACGCCCAATGCCAACTGCAACTGTTAGAGGACCTGCGGGAGGATTGGAGGACAGGAGGATCCTGCAGCACCACTACAACAACAAACCACATCCGTAACAACCATAGAACAACAGAATTTGAAACTAGCTAATTAGTCAGCATTAAACAGGGGATTGCAGCTAATCCTTCAGTAAGCCGACGACGACGGTTCGGATACCGACGAAACGATAACGATAATGATATAGGCGTGCATCTCCTTTTCGGGGGCGTGGCACTGTGTTTGTATCGATATGTGTATGTATATCCTTTGCGTTCGCTCGCCTCAGTGTAAATGTCAAATGTTATTTAATCCGATGTTTGAATTGTAATTTGTAATTGGTAATTGATAATTGGTAATTTGTAACTTGTAATTTAATCGGCTGGCCGCAGCGTGGAACCATTTGTTGAGTGTGTGAATTGAGTTGAGTTTATATTCGAATTGAGCGATCGCGATTTACTATAAGTCGAGATCGGCAAATTGAAAAAGAGCAAAGAATTTAACGAAAGTCCGATTTGACGGTGATTCGGCACTAATTAAGCATGCACCCCGAGTGCTGATTAAAGTCATTTGATTTGTGAGGTCAGTCAGCACGAGTATTTCGAACCGTTCTCCACATCCACATGTATATACGCTGGCTAAACTGTACAGTTTGAGATGCTTGACGAAACGCACAAAGCTAGCGAATCGGTGAAATCGAACATACAACTAACTATAGCAACACTGTCTCCATACACCCCCTACCCCTTACACCCATGTATATGTATGGATACACACTCACACACACACCAAACAAGAGAAGAGCACTGAACACACACACCGATAGACACAACACAGACCGGAAACGGATATAGTTAAAACCCGTGAATCGAAAATCCCTGGCTTGGAGCATTCTAGCAAACACAAACAAACCGGCTGATTGGTAAGCCGTTATTATTAAATATTATGATTATTATTATTATGTACGTATGTATTTATGTAGTGAAATGGAAAATTTTAATGTGTTGCAAATGATAAAAGAAATATATACATACATCAAATATACATGTATCGCATAGAGTACTAAACCGAAACCTAAACCAGACCCGAAAGTACGTAGAGGTAAATGCAGTTTTCTGTTACCCGGAAACCCTATCGAACACCTTCCGAGGGCCAGAGTGACAATAACCCGCAGGAGACCAGGACCACTGAGATCCCCTCCCCCTCGAGGTCAGGCAACCGAAGTTGATTTTCCCCCAACACCTCACCGCCCACTTTTCCTTTTTTGGTTTGATTTCCCATTCGAGACTGTTGCGAACTGAATCCGGACTGCGACTTACTTGAACCCACCGAGCCAGCTGAGAGATCGGTGCATTTAATTTGCCAGCCCTCCCTCCCGAAAACCCAATATCCAAACACCCCCTTTTATATGCACACACACACACAAACACACATACTACCCACTTTTCTACCTGTATACTATATAGTATATGCTATACAAGGCTTTCCTTTGTTAACGCTTTAATGACACAACAACAAACCGCTGCCGTGACTAAATTTGAACGAAGATTTTAGGCGGGGACAAGGACTTTGACTTTGGGGGCTAAAACTGCTGAATCTGAATATGTAACTGAATATATATATATGTATATATATATATATATATATATATGTATTTGCCAATGCTCGTTAATGTTAAATATGTGTACAAGCAGAGTTTCACTTGAATTACGATTAAATTAAAGGCATATCGCTGTATTATAAATACCCAAATTGGAGACAACACGAGAAACGTAAAACCGAGAACCCGCACCCAGGAAAATGCCAGGAAAATCCACACGAATTGCACAACGAGTTGCTAAGTGCCAGAGAAGAGAAGAGGGGAAGGGAGCTGGGATATAGAAAGAAAAGATAATGGAGATGATTCTATACGAAAATGCCTTAAGTCAGCGACGCTCTTCGCTGATTGGTCTTTTTGGCGTTCGAACTGTTTTGTAAAATAATTAATCATACAACTTGCATAACCACTCCTTCAAGTATTTGTCTTTGTATTCGTGTGTGGATTCGCTTTTAGTCAAGCCCTAATTAAATAATCCAACCCAATTGAACTAAACCGAACTAAACTAAAGCTACAACTAAAACTAAACCGGAGTAAAATCAAAGCAAATAACACAGAGGTAAAGGAGAAACAATTGTTAATGAATTCGTGCATAGGCATAACGCAAACATTTTTGCGCTACATTGTTGTCATTTAAACCAATACTTAGCATATTGATTATTGCATTGTGTACTCAGCTAAACCAAATATTTGTAAACCCTATGAACACAATTCAAGCTCCAAACACAATGGCATTATTTGTATTCCATTTAAATTGCAACAAGAATAACCCAACTAGGAAATGTATACAAGAATGTCAAAATAAAATAATTCAATATATTATTCAATGATGGTTTTTAAACACTAACACTAACACATCTGCATACCCGTACTTATGAGGATACTAACATAGATATACAGATACACACATATATACATAATATACACATAATGGTATTGAAATTATTGTATTCCCATAATAAAATATATGCAAAAGGTGTATGGTAAAACAAAGTATCAACTTTATTTTCTTTAAATGGCGGATGGTCCTAACAAAAAAATGGTAATAAATTTCAAGTTTGTTTTATCCCATTTGGCGCGGATATAATAAAATAAAAGCACATCTTAACGAGACATAAATATCCACAATTTCTGATATCCATTTTTTGTCGGTTATAACAAATATAACTTTTGTTAATTTTAATAATCCAGCAGAAGCTGGACTTTAATAAATGAAGATAAACTGTGCGACGAGAATAATTAATTCTGACAAGCTTTTTAATAATTAAAAACCCTAAAACGATATGTAAATTATTTGAGTTACCGAATTAGACCGGAACTCCACGTTAATGCCTGATTTGAATAGTTAATGTTATGAAACCAGAAATTTAAGTGTCCGTTTAATGTCAGAAAAATATCAAATTTGTGGAATTCCTTTTTTTATACCCTTGCAGAGGGTAATATTATTTCAGACAGAAGTTTTCAACGCAGTGAGGAAGATACCCTTCCATACGAGTGATCAAAAAAATAACCTTTGAAAACTATCATATCATCTTGATTTCTCCCGAATGTTGTTCCTTTCCAAATATCCAAAAAATGGGTCCATATCTTTTCTAATTCCGATTTCGAAGTGGCATACTTCTTAACATTTCTTATTTTAATCCCACTCTAAAGTGGCGTGCTCTTTAAAGAAATTTTGTTTCACTGATTTTATATAAATAAATAAAGTAATTCAATTTTATGATAATCGGACGATTAATCATATAGCTGTCATAGGGCAATCGGTGTAAATATCGATAAATTAATAAAGAAAATCATCAATACTATAATGTAGTTTGGCCTGTGCTCGACATTTTGATGACTGAAAGGGTATATCAGCTTCAGCTCGCCTAAGCTAACTTCCTTTCTTGTTTTAATTTAAATTTAAACTGGAGAAAGATTTACTATATATAATATCCTATCAATTTTAAGGCAATTCAATAGTATTTTATCAATATATTTATGACTTTATTTGCCTTATTGCTAGAGTGCAGTCAATTATTTATACAAACCAGTAGAATGTTCACAGGTCCTTTGAAAATTAAAGACAAGTTTGCTTTTACTCCATATATTTTACACATTTTATTCATATTGATATACTTGTATAATTTACAATTAAATAAGTCAATTCACATAAATATCATATAATGTGTGCCACATTTCAGCGCAATGCATAGCTTATGTAGAGGCCACATCGAGTGGCAGTTGAGTTTAGTTTAAATACAATAAGTTCCGCTTATGAATTATTTATAAATTGTACACGCTTCACAGGGACATGAGTGGCTATTGCTGAGTCGGGGATCAAACGGTTGAGCAAGCTCTTTCTAGCCAGGACTTCGATATTTTAGACAGATATATGTGTACGAGTATATATATTGCTGGATATGTCTATGCTGCGCTTATGTGTGTGTGTGTTGCCCTTGTGCTCTGTGTATATTTCCCATAAATACGAGTGGGCGTCCTGAATTTATTTTATTTCCTGGCGTCTATCCAGTTTTTATTGTACATTCGCAACGTTCGCACAGATAGAAGTACATGCTATCAATTAAAACTAACTCCGAAACTAAATGGCAACGTGTGCGGATGCTAGGCAAATGAAATGCAAACTTTTTTCTGGCTATTTTCCATTTACAAGTTCCCCGTCGACTTCAACTAATTTGGCATAATAAGCTCGAGGCACACAACGTTCTTCTACCTTAGACTTTGTTTACTTGCAGTTTGCTCTAACTAATGACGCAGTCCCGCTTTTATTCCGATTCTACATCGGACTTGGGGCTACACAGATGTTAATTGGACCTAAATGCATGAACATGTCGGCTGAATGTTTTTGGGATGGGGCTTAAATTTAACAGCAGAAAGTAAAATGCATAAAATCAGTCTGACTCTTGTTTCGATACATAATTATACATTATAATTTATAATACATACACAAGGCTAAAGCTGAGTATTTCTGTGTCCGTGTGTGCATACGAAATATGCAATTCCAAACGAAATGCAACTGGCGCTTTTAAATAATGTAAGTGCTAAGGATCGTATAAATAATTGTGCCCACACTCATTTAAGTTTGTGGGGGCAAACTAAGCCGTATTTACGTAAATTTAAGTGGGTGCGTGTATGTACAAAGTTTCAATGATGGCAGCTGCTCCACAAAGTATGCTAAGAATTTCGCCGAAGGACCTCAGTCCTCCGTGTGAATCCTGTACTGTGGCTTGCGTCTAATGGTGGCAAAGTATTGCGTTTTTTGCTTGCTGCGCTGTTGCTGCAGTTGTTGCAGGTGGTGCTGCTGCTGCTTCTGCTTCTGCCGCTGCTTCTGCAGCTGTTGCAGCTTCAGTCGTTGCTGCTTTTCTTGCTGCTGGGACAGTCGTCACACTGTGGTCTCGTCGTCATCAATATTCCGCCTGTTTTCGATGGGAAAGTGACCATTAGTGGGGCTGCAATCGGCTTATTCTCCAGGTATGCATTTATATACTTCCATCTACTACTAACATATACTATACTACTCTAAATTACGTGCTCTGCTACCACGTGCAACTCTTTGGTTAGTTTAAATTTGTGGCATGCCACGGAGTCTCATAAATTGCATGCGGATACGTGTTTTATGTATAGTTAGGCGCAAGCGAAATCATAATTTATGCAACACAATTATCAAAGTGAAAAAATGAACATAAATTCACGTGTGTGCGTGTGTCGGTGCGTTAGTATTTGAGGTATTTTGTGTGTGTAGGAGGTGTTGAAATGTGGTTAAGTTTATTTGGCCGGAGCCCGGTTAATTTGTCAAGTTATTCGAGTGTTATGGATGTTTTCGGGTAAATCATAAACATTATTAGGCGCCAAAGTGGTTGGAGCCATTGTTTCCCACTCGTTTTGATATTTCAGTAGGTATTCGTAGTAGATTAGGTGCAATAAATCCTAATCTGGCCTTAAAGTTTGGTTTATTACGAAATTCGATATTAAATGTGACTAATTAGAATAAAATCAACATAATAATTTTTCTAACTGCTCACCAATTTACACAGATATTGCAAAGTACTTCAAATTCTCCCCCATAATTATTGGCCAGACAAGGATTTAGTTCACCATTCATCTAATGGGAATACCTACTGCAATCCCAGATTGTTTTTAATCATAGCTAGTTGAATAACTAAAGGGTACTGTCTTTTTAAGACAATATATGACATTAATTGTTTAGTATTTTTTCTAATTTATTCTGTCACTCTGCTGGATTTATTAAAAGCTTTTAGTTGAACATTTTAAAGTAAAGAGGGACTAACTGAGGGGCTAACTAAGTTTGGCTATTTGTTTTTTTACTCCATATACCATATTGTTAGCGACCAGGGATATTGTTGCCTCTGTTGCCTGCGATGCAGCCAAATAATGTCGAACTGTGGAAATGTTCAGGTTGTTGTATAAAAGGTCTGTTTTTGTAGCGGGTGAAGTGTGGGAATGGTGGATGGATTGATGTATTCAGTTGTTGATGGGAATTAATAAATGTCGCAAATGCGTCAATTCAATATTACACGTTCCAATTAAATGCAGCACGAAATTCAAACATTCGGATTACAAATTAGAAAGTGAGAGATCCAACTGATTTGATTAATCAAACTAATGAACAAAGAAACATTCATGGGCGGCAACGGGCGTCAAATAATACAACAAAATCAATATTTATTATTTACATTCAATTTAAAATGGTCAAATCAAATTAAAACGGGTGCATTTTGGAATTAGGTAAGGAGCTCGAATCAAATCGAATCGAACCGAATCGAAGCGAATCGAATCACTTTTATGCACACTCGAGCTACGGAAAACGAACAAAAATGTAACCAAAGACGATGATGGAAAGTGGAAAATGGGAAATGTGATGTGCGACTTGAAAATGCATTTTACTTGTGGTTTACCTCTGAGCTGTAGTTGTAGTTGTAGTTGTAGTAGTTGTAGTTGTGTGGTTGTTGTTGATGTTGTTTGATTTGGTTGGGTTTTTTGGATTTGGATGGATGGAACACGCGCCGCCACAGTATTTTGCATTACGTCGAATTTCATTTTGCAGTTGGTTTTGATTTATTTTTTATTGTTTTTTGGTTATAAGTGTGTATGTTTGTGGTATGCGTGTGTGTTCAGGTTTAGTTTTCAAGGAGCAAAAGAGAAAAAGAGCGAAAGCACGATATTGGAGAGAATAGAAGTGAAAGATAGTCAAATTAGATTTGCTTCAAACGTTCCCAGGACCAGCTGAAAGGATATGGACATGTACACGTATAGAAGAATGTATATGAGTGTGGCAGACGTGTGTTTGTGTAAGCGTGCAGTGAGTGTGTTTGTGTGTGAGTGTGTGTTAAAGAGTTTGTACCATATTCATTTGCATTGTTTTCAGTTTTCATTGTTGTGGGAGAGAGTCGAATGGTACAAAAGGGGTTTATGTCATTGTAGTTGTTGATTCGAATGCCATAAAGAAAAGAGAATCAGAAACAAAGGACCACAGATTAATTGCTGGAATCAAACATGGAGAACGAACTGGAGTTCTCTAAACCAAAACTAATCATCTAGGCCAACAGAAAAAATTAAATTCAACAGACAGGTTGGGCTGCACATAAAGTACAAGAAGCATTAACTGGCCATCAGAACCACAACGAAACTGAAACCGAAAACCGAAAACCGAAACCAAAACCGAAACCGAAGCCAACAAAAGCTGTCATGTCACAGAAATCTCCCAGAAACCGAATGTTAAGTATGGTCTCTAAATGAGTCTTTGAATTTGGACAGTAGCTTTGGGCGCTACTCTTTCGGAAATGGGAGCCAAGTCTCTGCAAGCTTTATGGAAATGATTTCCTGGGATTTCTGTGACACACGAAGAGGTGAGGAGGTACTCCAGGTTTTCAGGGAAACTCACTCAGTATCCGTGATGCTGGTAAGTGGTCCCAGTGGCTGCATGGGAGCCACCATACTCGATGGCGGAGAGGAGGCTCGGGAACTGTGCCGGGAACCTCCATTGAGGGGATGCCGAGCTACCAAGCCCGGATTGTTCACATCGTTGACGAGACCCAATCCAGGTGGCTGCATCAACTGGGATCCGTGGAGCGAGGGTGGTTGCGTGTGGCTCAGCTTCCTGGCGGGCAGGTGGTCCTCCTCGGCGGTGTAGGGGAAGTGGTATCCGTTCTTATCCGATCCCTCCGACAGTCTGTCCTGCAAGTGGTGCTGCTGCTGGTGGAGTTGCTGCTGCTGCTGCTGGTGGTAATCGTTCTTCAGCAGCGAGTGCACCGAATGCAAGGAGTCCGTGGCATAAGTGGGCTGCCTCTTCAGGCTGTAGTGACCATCTCTGGATCCATAGATATCGGGGGTGATGCGATCCTTCGACAGGTAAGGCGATTCCGACTTGGCTCCCAGGTAACCACTTCCCAGGGTTCGCTGCTTGTCGTATATGTTGTCACTCAAGTACGCCGCATCCGGGTGGAAACTCCTCATGTGACCGATGGTTTGGGAGCCACTTCCTCCGCCGGGATAATCCTTTTCGCTGCCATAGTGACTGGGTGGCTTGTAGGATCCATACTTATCGGGATACTCGCCCCTTCGTCCGTACAAACTATCCTCGTAGCCATCGCGTGCATCCCGAATATTCTCCAGGATCGAAGGAGGCATGTTGATCTTGTTGTGGTGCTGCTGCAGGTAACTGGTGTCCGTGAGATCGGGATTGGGCAGCGGGTTCGGCGAGATGGTCATCTTGGCCTGCCCGTGAACATGCTCGTTATCGGAACCCGTGTCCTGCGACCATCTTCCAATATTCGGAGGCGACTGCAGATAGGCATCCGGAAGCTGACTCGACCAACGGGGAGCATAAACGGGTTTGCTGACACTCGGGAAGAGCTGCGGACTCTGCACCACATTCAGTTCCGGCGGAGTGGTGGCCTGCACGTGCTCCGTGATATTTGGCAGATAGGCAGGCGTTGAACTCACAGCCGTGCTGCGATGTGTTCCCGAAGATCGAGCTGTTCGGGATTCATCATCATCACTGGAGTGACTACTGGCTAGCTCCAGGGATCTTCCATCTGTTTCCGAACCGGAATCCGAGTCCTTTCTCTGCCGACGCGATGGCTTCTCCTCACCAGTGTTCCTACTTCTTCCAGTTGTGGAGGACTCAAAGCCCCTTAGGAAACTGGGAGCATCGCTGGCTGAATTATAGTTCGAGGTGGATGTGGAGGTCTGCCTCAGCTGGCCATCACTGTAGGGACTAGAACTAGTTTTGGCCGTACTTCTGGAGGTGGTGCTACTAGCACTGATGCCGATATTCCTTCTGGTTGTGGTATCATATCCTCCAGCCAGGAAGTTGCTCGGCCTCGCTGCTCCATTAACGTTGTGAGAACTGTTGCTGACCACCATGGAGGAGTCCAAGAGCGGCACCTTGCGACCCATGCAACGCAGACAGGTGCGCTGGAGGTTCTCCCTCACCCGCTTGTTGATTATGCAGTATCCAATGAGGCAGAAGAGGGCGTGGAGGAGCACCACGCCCGAGAGTAACATGCTCAGCAGCTGGGAGTGCTCCGAAGCCGCCAGCACTGCCAGGACCCACATAACTCCCATCAGAGGCAGTGAGACCACCGAGAGCCATAGAAGGGTTCGCAAGTTGCCGAATCCGAGGACGTGATCCTTGAGGGTAAACGCGGCTTTCACGGAGACGAACAGGATGAGCAGGTTTACCACCGACATGCCCGCAATCGGACCCACCAGCCACCACACCACGGGTTCGTAGACAGACAACCAGCAGCTGGAATAGAATGAAAATACAATTAGTAAACTAAATCATAAATCATTGTCTAATTTAAAAAAACACAAGTACAATGGAAATTGTCATTGATTAAATTGATGTACCATTTTGAATATAAATTATTGTAGCACAATTGTGCTTGCATGTTGAAAAACTAATTACAATTGTTTGCTTGTAAATAAGATATTTTATATTGTAATATTGTAAATCGAAACATGTTAAAAACTTAAGCAAGTCATTCTTTAAATTATAATTTTAACACAAAGGTTTTTTTTATCGACTTTCGAGTTTGGGATTGACAACTTGCATTTCTTTCTGAGTACAATAACACAAAATTAAATACTCACAATAAGCTATTTCCATATTCGTGGGCCCGAACACCCACAGAAAGTCCGACGACGATGGCTGGTGCTCCGTAGCCCATGGCGAAGTAGAAGCCCATGGGTCCGTGGTTTATGTCCCGCATCTCGGTGAGCATCCTGTAGAGATGGACGCAGTCCACCGTTGTCCAGGCAAAGGCAGCTAACCAGAAGTAATGGAGGCAGATGGCGGTCAACTTGCATGGGAATTCGCTCTCCAAAAGTTGCCGACGCGATTGCATTCCCACGAAGAAGAGCAGCTCCGCGCAGAAGACACAGAGAACAATGTTTTGATGGATGGTATTGGAGTTGGTTTGTTGGCCTCGTAAAAGGGCCAAGGCCAAAAGCACTCCAAGCAGCAGGGGAAGTGAAACCAGAAAAGCGGAGTACGAGGTGATCTGCACTAGAAGCGAAGGTTCGGGAATATCCTCCGGATCGATTACATCCACAATAACTGCATAGCTAGAAATGTGGGTGCAGCTGCAATTCACCAGGATCGCTTGTTGTGCCGCCGGGTTGAAGTCACCATCAAAGTCGGGAATCTCTGTCTGACAACCCAATCTGGTCCATTGATTGGTAAAGGAGTTCCAGCGAACGCACTGCGGATTAGAACGAGGTCCAAATCGAGCTGCATCGACATCCAACCACATTTGCAATTTAATTGGTTGTGCCAAATGAGGTGAACCCAAGGATCGATAGACCACTTGCTCCGATTGCTGCATTTGCTCTGATGGATATGTGATTTCCACCTGTCTTTTGACCAATCGGCGATCCCTGTAAACCGCCTCATTCTCACCCTTTGGCTGCTCATCACTTCCCGTTGAGCTTACACCTTCGTAATTTGGATTGAGTATCTCCGGAGAATCTGGAGATACGATCTCCTCGCCAGAGTTTCCATGGAATTCGATGTCATCGGGGTTCAAGCGAATGTGGTGTTCCCTTTCTTCACCATCCTCGCCACTTGACGCCTCCATTTGTTCTCCCGAAGAAACTGGAGGCGGAATTTCATGAGCTGTTATCCTGATATCCTCTATCTGTTGTTCACTACTACTTGTTGGAGCTTTGGGTACATCGAAAACCTCCACGAACTGTTGCTCTGTGCTGCCTGATGAAGAGGATGTTGAAGATGAGGAGATCTTCCTCGGGGGAATCTCCATGCGTTGGGTCTCCTGTTCTCGTTCCATCGAAGGTACAAGAATCTGCAGGGACAGAATTGGAGTGGCTAGCTCGACATCCACACCCCAACGACGGGTGATTGTTTCATCATAAAGATCTGGGAGTAGTTGACCCACATCTTTATATTGCGCATACGCCACGATGGCTCGATGGTCATGGCTGCCACCCCTTCGACTACTTTGAGAGACCTCATCACTTTCCGGTGGCGTGATTCCCAACATTTCCAGGGGAACCAACACCTTGGTGTGCTGATCGAACTTGCGGCGATCCAAGATGTAATTGTTGTACTTGGGGAAGCTGATCACTGGCCTCTGGCGAGCTGAATGTTGAAGGAATCCACTGGTATCGGGTAGCACCACACTCTCTGTGGTGAAGGCATTCGGTTTGAGGTACTTGCTCCGATGGTATTCACTTAGCTGCTCTGGCTCATAACCAAAAAGAGATTCTGTGGTGACAATATCCAAGCCGAGGGCCATGTTTGGCTGCACAATTTCAAAGGGACTGGTGTAGGTGTCGTGCTGAGAGCGAGCTAGAACTACTAGATACTTGTTGAAGGCATCCACCAGATCATCTGGTCCCCGCTGGATCAATTCCGTGGCTCTTCTCCATTCTGCCTCGTATTTCCGATCCAAAATAACACTAGCAGCGTCCACCAAATTCTTGATGAAGTACTTGTCCTGACTGTGTGACAAATTCAGACCACTTTGCATTAGTTCGTAGTTGATCAGCTCCTGCAAAAGACCTTCGGTCACCAAGAGATCGGCGCCATACAGTCGATCATGGGTGAATTTCAGTTCATCTGATAGATAATCCATCTCAAGTTCGTGTGACCAGACATTTCCACCATTGCTTAAGAGGAAAGAGGACTCCATTTTGTAGCGCCTGTTGGGACGACCTGATCCAGGCATTTTTTGATCCTTGCTGGAACCCCTTCTGTCCACCGTTTCACAGGCTTTTCTCAGTTGCTCTGCCATTTTTATGGCCACAAAAGAGTTAAGTTCCAGTTCGAGTTTCTCCAACTGGGATAATTGCCGGCGCAGCTCCACAAAAGGCTCCGAGGTGCAGTTGTACATGTCCGGTGTGTTCCAACTGCCTGATTGAGCATCGCAGTTGCGTTGACCCTTACCGCGAGCTGGCGCAGGACATCCCTCGATGGCCACACCTCCGATTGGAGTTCTTGGCCACCAGACTCCTCCAGCAAAGGATCGCGGACAGGCATCGTAGACCACTTCGCAGCCACTGAGTGTGACCTCGGCATAGGGATTCGAGCAGGAGTCGCATCTCCGGCCGATGACTCCTTCGCGACACTCGCATTGTCCTGTCAGCGGATTGCAGGCACCACTGAAACTTCCAATGGAGTAGCAATCGCAGGAGAGACAGGCCGTCTCGTTGGGCGGTTGGTAGTGGTTCGTCTTGCAGTAGCACTGTCCAGTGGTCTTGTTGCAATCAGGGTGGTAACCCTGAGCCAGATCACATCTGCATGGTCCACACACTCGCTCTCCCCACCACCCACCAGGACACGGTTGCTGGAGTTCTCTTTCGCAGTAGTCTCCATGTCGGGAACTGGTGTTGCATTCGCATCCGTAACCCCGAGATAAACTAGTATTTGCTCTGCAAACTCCAGAGGCACAGGGTCTCACTGTACAAATGGGGGGCACAGTCAGCACCCACGAAACCGGAATCACACTCGCAGGTGGACAGATCCCAAGTACTTTGGCAAGAGGAGTGATTGGGACAATGATCTGGACACTGAGCCCGCGATTCGCAGCCATCTTCCACATTCTCACGTATAGTTGGCCGTGAAAGAACCGATTGTCCCGCTCCAATTCGCACATCCTGAATGCAACCTTCGAAGGGAGAAGCTTCGGGGACAGATCCAATGCTACCATCCGGACTGCCCATCACAATCTTGCCCACATAGAGTCCTTGAACCTTCTGAGACATGGGAACCGAACCAGAACGTTGTCCATAATCCACCGAGAAGTGGATCTCGGAGCCCTGTTGCCAACGAATTTCCACTCTGTGCCACTCGCCATCGGAGAGGAAGGCTCCAGCCAAAAACATAGGTTCTCCATCGAAGATGTAATAGAGGATTCCTTGCCGAAGGCAAACCGCCGCAGAACTGTTTTGTCCAATTTGAATTTGAAGAAGGAAAGCCTCCTTTTGTCGAGTGCGTAGTGAGAATGAGGTGGTCCAGGGTAGTTGGATGGGTCTTAGTAGAGGATTGAAGCTGAGGCTTCCATCTCCGGAGAAACGCCAGGGAGCTGGTATATTGTCCTGGCAGCTGTTGCCCGCATATCCTTCGGGACACTCGCAGGAGTAAGTTCCCCAACCCTCGCGACAGGTGCCTCCATTGAAACAAGGTTCGGATTGGCAGAGAGGAGCTTTCTGAGGACAACCTGCCAGTGTTCCATTATCAGCCACATATGAATTCAGATCAATAAACCGATCATCGATGCGCAGATCCGAGATGCAACCCACATAATCACGATTGGCCACCGGAAAATGGGCTGGAATGCGAGGAAGTCCGCCCACTTGCAAAGGTCCTGTGAGATCCAGGAATCGATGGCAGGTCTCAGTGAGCAGTGAGCAGCGTTTGTCCAATTTCAAAACAGTGCGATTAGCACAGCTCCATCTGTCACCCAATTGACCCGAAAGCGCGATGGCGGTGTCACAATTATCTAAAACTAAGGTGACACTGCGGTTGAGATAGACCACCTCCACTTCGTGCCACTTTCCATCGGAAACCTTTGCTTCCTGAATCACGGAAACTCTTTCACTGTGATCACCCAAGGAGAAGGAGAAGCTAACATGTCCTTCGTGAATCTCCAAGGCAACAAAGTCGTGCAGTTCGTTGTATCTTCCATTGTAGAGCAGCAATCCGTTCTCCTGGACGGTAGCAAATCGTAGTTTAATATTGAAGCGATGTCTTTGCTTCAGACTCTCGAAGGTCAGGAAGGAGTTCCGGCCGAAGGCTCGAGCTCTCAATTCGCAGGCTGCTGTGTAAGGAGGAGGCTGGGAGCTGGGATAATTACTCAGGCAGGACAAGCCACCTTCGCAAGAATCCGAGGGACAAGGACGCAGCTGATTTACTCCAGTTTCACAATTTAAACCAGTGTGTGTGGTTGGACACACGCAGGTGTAACCTCCCTCTCTTCTCACGCAACTTCCTCCATTCTGGCAGGGATCCGAGTAGCACAGATCCACCTCCGTGTCGCACAGATAGTGTTCCTTACTGCCAGTAAAACCTTCCGGACAGGAGCATGCGAACGTATTTACAGGATAGATCGGTCTGAAGAGCACAGTATCGCTGTGGATAAACTCCGAGGCATTGCCGAACTTCAGGACAGTTAAACACTCTTCGAAATTCAAGCAGGGCTCCCGCACACAAAGGTTATCGTCGAAGGGAAGGACTTCCACGGTGGCCAAGCGAGCTAGGATAGCTCTATTCAAGTAGACTCGCTCTTGCAGATACTGCGGCGTGTAGAATTCCTCATGGGAAACATCTGGTCGACGGGCTGAGAAGCTGACATTCAAAATACGTGAACTAACATCCGTGTCATCCTGAATGCTAAACACAAATATGTGCTCCTTGGGACAGGGAATTATGGCAGCTAGTCCATCCAGAAAAAGTTGAGCAGAGGAGACAGAAAAGCCTCCTCCGTCATCTCATTCAATCTCACTGTAACAGAATTAAAGAGCATATCTTCGGTGATCAAACGAACAGACAGTTGCATTATCGCCTTGGCCTCGTTGATTCCATCCGATACGGAAACTTCCATGGTGGCGAATTTGGGTACATTGGTGTTCAGCTGAGGACTGAGTACCAATCCTCCCGAGCTGCTATTCAAACGTAGCAAGTTCGCATTATTTCCCGACAATATTCTGTAGTGGAGCTTATCACTCACATCCGCATCGAAAGCAGGAATTCTTCCGATTTCCCCACTAGGGAAGTGATCTCGGAAATTGTTAAAAATCACCTGGAAGTCTCGCAGCACTGGAGCATTATCGTTCACATCCGTGACAAGGATCTCAATGTGGGCATCGTTGCGCAAAGGAGGACTGGCTGCTCGAACCACCAACTCAAATCGCTTTCGAGTGGATTCATAATCCAGTTCTGTCATGGTCAACAGTTGAGCTCTTTCAGATCCAGGCCGAGTTACCAAAGAGAAAGCATTGGAGTCATCTCCACCGATGATGGAGTAGTGCACCACTGCATTTACACCTTCATCAGGATCGTGAGCATGAATTTCACCTACTACAGAACCTACTGGTGAATTCTCCGGCACATAGAGTGTGATCTTATCCGAGGCAAAAGTCGGTGGTGAATCATTAACATCCTCCAGTCGGATTTGCACTTCCACTGTGCTGGAAAGTGGTGGTGATCCCTTGTCTACAGCAATAGCAGTCAAGTGGAACACAGCTACACTTTCCCTATCTAATCCCTTGTTAGTTCGAATAGTACCCGAAGTGGGATCGATCACAAAAGAACCGTCTTCTATATCGCGATCACTTAGTAAATATTTAATGCGACCATTAAGTCCCACATCCGGGTCGCTCGCTGCCACTTGGATGACTGAAGTGCCTACAAGGGCATCCTCCAGAATGGAAGCCTGGTACAATGGGCTCTTGAAAGTAGGAGCATTATCATTCACATCAGTCACTCCGATTTCCACATCCGTTGTGTCACTTAAGGAAGGATTACCGCCATCCTTGGCAGTTACTGTCAGAAGATAACCACTTGTAGTTTCTCGATCTAGAGGAGCATTGGTAACAATGGCACCCGTTTGCGGATTAATAGAAAACGGATCTGGACTACCCAAGCCATTGATGCTCTCCTCATTCAGGGAGTAAGTGATCTGCGCATTCACTCCAACATCGCTGTCGGTGGCAGAGACCACGAGGACAGTGGTGCCAACAGGAGCATCTTCAAACACCGAAGCGCTGTATGGAGCATTCTCGAAGATCGGAGCAAAGTTATTCGCATCTGTAATGTTTATGTGCACAGTAGCAGTATCGGATCTTCCTCCAGAATCAGTGGCCGCCACTGTGAGCAGGAATCGCTTCTCCTGTTTGTAATCCAGCGACTGAGCAATCGTAATCAAACCTCGTCCATTTTGAGAAGTAATTGCAAATCTTCCTCTTGTATTTCCCGTAGTGATCTCGTAATGCAATCGGGAATCTTCATCCGGATCGGTAGCTGTGACTGTGGTCACCGGAGTGCCTGGCGGTTGATCCTCACCCACATTCGCCTCGTAATACTTTGGATTAAAGGCGGGATCGTTGTCGTTTACATCCTGTACGGTAATCACCACTGAGGAACTGGCTGACTTGGGTGGCACACCACCATCTTTTGCCACCACTTGAAATGCAAAGCGTCCCTGCTCCTCACGATCCAGTGGCTTTATAGTCTGTACCCAACCAGTTCGAGGATCCACGGCTAGCGGGAAGTTGTCATCTCTCTCGGAAATACTATAAGTAATCTCTGCATTGGCACCTTCATCAGAATCATAGGCTTGTACCCTTATTATGTTATATCCAACTGGTACATTCTCTAAAACACTTTCCTGGAACTGCGAAGTATAAAACCTCGGCGCATTGTCATTTGCATCGATGACGTTGACCAGAAGCTGGGTGGTGTTGCTCCTCGAGGGACTTCCTCCATCCTGAGCACGAATCACCAACCGGTAACTTCGTACACTCTCGTAGTCCAGCGGTTTCACCAGACTCACATCACCAGACATTGAGTCGATAGAGAACTGTGACTGCGTGTTTCCTCCGATAATTGCATATCGAATGGCTGCATTGTTTCCTTGATCCGCATCTGTGGCTCGGATGTGGGCCACTGTATTATCCTCAGTTCCTCCCCACTGATCCTCAGGAACTTGAACTGTGTAGGTGCGTTCACTGAACTGCGGATAGTTGTCGTTGTCATCGAGGACTTTCACTTGAACACTAGCCGTGGCTGTCCTTCGTTCGCTTTGTGCTGATGCCATATCAGCAGCGGTGACCAAAAGGTGGTAACTATCCGATGTCTCCCGGTCCAGACTGCTCCTCGTTGAGATCACACCCGAGCGGGAGTCTATCCGGAAAATGGGCATCTCCTGGTCCTGAGCCAATCCAGCGCCATCTGGGTAATAATTAGAAAAAATATCATATTGTAGTTAAGTTGATGGCATAAAATATTTAATAAACAAAGAGTAAAGCACTAAACTGTAACAGGCATTAATATGCGCTGGTCACACTTTCGACCTCTCGAGAGAGGATGTGCCCTCTCGAGAGAGCGACGAGCTTAACCAAAACGGCTGTTGAAATATAGCTGCCTGCGAGCAGGGAGTTGGTTCTAATTGAGAGTCAGAACAATAAAGAATAAAAAATCCTGATACAAAAATAAGATCTTATTGCATATTGATACTGAACTCACCTGTAACTGCCTCGATTCCATACTCGATTTCCGCATTTTTGCCAATGTCCTGATCAGTTGCTCTAAGAGTAATGACCGTGGATCCCACGGTGGCTCCTTCGCGGATACTCGCCTCGAACTGTTCCGCCTCGAAAGTGGGACTATGATCATTGCAGTCCAGGACATTAACCTGAAGGGTGGTGGTACCGGATCTCGGTGGAAAGCTGTCATCGGTGGCCACCACCCTAAAGTAGTGCACGTCCATTAGCTCCCGATCCAAACTGGCAGAGGTGGTAACCACGCCGGTTCTGGAATCCACCTTAAACAGCGACTGAGATCGCGAGTCCAGCAGGGAGACCATGGAGTAAACCACTGGGGAGTCCTCGGGATCTCGAGCACGCACAGTTGTAACTGCAGAGCCTGCAGGTTGCTCCTCCAGCACGGCGGCTACGTAAAGAGCTTGTTCGAAGTATGGCGACTGGTTACGCAACTCCCTTCGAACCCTTCGCGCGATATCCGTATCGTTGAACTCCTGATGATGGTACACGATCTTCAGACGGTGATCCGAATCCACGATATCCCGCCGATCGCAGCGGATGTTGAATGTAATGCTCACTTTCCACATGGACTCCGCAATGCAGACATCCCTGCTGGCCACCAAATCCCTGCTCTGATGTTCGATGGCGAATCTCTCGTCGTTCACATCCAGAAAAGTAACTTTGCAGTGCTGACAAACTGACTTCGGCAGAAAGGCATTAAGGCTGTTGATGAACTGCGATCTTCTCAAGCAAATTTGATTCCACTTATCCGTGGTGTGGATTGCATAAGAAGCATACGTTTCCGAGATCCACTGCTTGGCATCGGAAATCCGGCGGTGCAAGGCGGGTTGCAAGTGCAGCGGATCCGATGAACCCACAGCTCTCCTCTTGCGACTCAGTATCCTGTGCCGCATCTCATTTTCGAAGCTGTCGCCAAAGATTAAGTCTCCGGCTCTGAACTCCGTGCTATTCTGGCGGAACGCCTCCTCCAGCTGGTTGCCATCCAGTTGGATTATCTCCTGGGTGGAGCGCCTTCTTCTCCGCTTCGAGTAGCCCGTGTTGTCCTCCTCCTCGTAGTGGTGGTGGTGCAACTCCTGCTCTATCCGCCTGTCCTCGTTGCAACTGTGACCCGAAATGAAGATCCGCACCGGCAGACTGTAGTAATCGATGCTGCGCAACCGATTCGAGGTGGAGTCCACGTAAAAGGTGAACAGATTCGGGTAGTAGATGCCGTCGCACTTGAGGGCCTTCCTCAGCTGAATCTGGCCATCTTTGTGGCTAACCGAGACGAGGTGGTGCACAAAGTTGGCCGATTTGTGGGCATTGATCTTGTAGTGCCGCTCCGAGCCCAGTTTGTAGACGGAGGCGTTGAAGATAATGGTGCCAGGGGGCGTGTCCTCGTGCACGATAATCAGGTAGCTCTCGACGAGCGATGATGGCAGCAGCAGGAGCGCAAGGAGCACAAGGGGCAGGAGGCCCAGGTGGCTCCACCTGTGAGGTGGCTCCCCCGTCCGCATGACTCAATCACGTATCCTGATTGCGCTCGATGCGTGTGTGTGTGTGTGAGTGTGTGTACTCCTTCCCTTCTGTAATTCTGTGCCGTGTGTGTGTGCGCGCGAGTGTGGGTGTGGTGCGAGAACCAACAAACCACAGTGCAATTAATGTTCCTATTCAATTATCATCGGTGGGCGGTGCTGGGGGCGTGGCCATCTGTCTGAAAGGGAAAAGAAAATTTTGGGTTTCAGTGCGGTCGAGGGTGGAAATTGAGTTTGCTCTCAAAAGTAGGCAATGTTTTGGCTTCTGACTCTCGTTCTCGAAAATAAACCACCCACCAAATTGATTGACCCAATTTAAGACATTTCAAAGTATCAAATTTAAGATGCTCGAAAGTGCAATCGTTAATTAAGAGGGCACTCACAATCGCTAATGAAGTGCACTATATAATTAGCGAACCAATCATATATCAATTTGTATTTTCTTTCAAAGTAAATAATTGATTTTCGTGTTTCAAAGTATTTAATTAATTAGGACTCACATGTTTGGAGTCACTCCCCCTCTATTCAGACTTTCAACCTCCTCTTTTAATATTCATAACTCTCCTACAAAATGAACTGTGTGAGGAACCTTCTGTTTTTTGGCAGTTTTAATGCTGCCTTTGACTTAATTAAAAACTCTTTACAAAAAGCTCTCACAAATTTCTCCGGCAGCTGAAAAGCAGCGGGAAACATTTTTTTAATTTCATTTTCGTGCTTCACGAAGAAGAAGAAGACTAGCTAATATGAAGCTAGATAAAATGAAATTTAATCTTTTTTCGGGATTCTTTGCCGGTTTGTTTGGCGAAACAATTTTTGCAGGCCCTTTTGACATTTCGGCGAAGCGAAGTTACACCGTACCATACAGCTTAATCAGACAACATTGGCGGGCTTTTGATGGGCGTGGGCGTGGGAGGCGTTTGGGGGGCGGTAAAAGTGGTAAGAGCGGTGGCAGTGCAGCCAACAAAATGCCACAATGTGACGCTGTCCAAGGCTCGGATGACCGTTGCCCGCTGGCCATTCGCTCGCCGGAGTTGAAAATTTAATGAAATTCGATTTGATGTCCCTCTAATGGCCGTTTGGCGAGCGTTTTGGGTTCGTTAATTAACTAAGGGCAGTCGCACACGTACCGGCTGGCTCACATCGTACTAAAATTACGATTTGGCCCTGACAAAAGGGCTTAGTCCAGCCAGGTGAAATTGAGGGGAGTGTGAGGGGCGAAGGTCAGCTGGGGACGGTGTCGAATTCCATTTCGAATTCATGTTGCAACTAAACTGTTTGTTCATTGTGCTGCTCATTCCGATGCAGATAATTCGCACGTTCGCCTAATGAAAGACACGTCCTGCCAAATCCCCAATTCTGGTTCTCGTTCGTTCTGGCGTTGCGTATACGCAGTGTGGGACAGCGCACCTGCATCGCACGGACCGCGTGTCCTGTGAAAGGATATCCAGCGCACTGACATATGTGGGACTATTAGCGAGGGATGACTATGCAATGGGTCCTGGGAAACCAGTTCGTTTCGGCTTACGGTTTTCTGTATATCCAAAAGCGTTAGTTGAATATATAGTTCCATTTCTGATATAATGATTACACTTTATAACTAAAAAGCGATTTGCTTCACCAAACAATTACAACGTTTTAAAAAGCTTTTGAATCGTTTATTATATAATTGTTGAGCAATCAACAAAATATGTTACCAAATAAATTTGTAACCATCAAACTTATTAAAGAGCATATAAAACATTAAAAGCACATAAATTTATTATGATTTCATTATGTGAGCTTTTGTGATAAATGTTAAAATAATATTAAATAAGTGCCTATTAATGTTTATTATGCTTATCATAATTCTTTCCCCACTTCACGCGAGCTTAGAAATGCTCTTAGTTATGTCTTTTGGCCCATTAAAAGAATGTGTTCTTTATTTAGGTATAAAGAGGGTTAAGAGTACTAGGTATAATGTTCTTAGGACTCGGGACAACCCCTTGTAGCCATAACTTACGTCTAGTATGGCCTCCTGGGAGTGCGATTTTTATATTTTTTGGAGAAATTCCCCAGACTGCAGTTGCGTGTGTTTGTTGGTTGTCGCCGTGTTAATTGCAGTGTTAAAATGTTTAATTAAAATTTCAGCTCGGCCGCGTTCGCAGCAGACGTGTGCCAGACTCAGGCTCAGATGTTATTATTGTTATTGTTTTGCCGGGCGACAGAGCACATACTGGCACCATCCCCCTCCTCCTCCCCTTTTCCATCCACTTCCACCTCTCCGCATTTCCACGTTTTCCACCTGGGCAACGGGGGCAGACGCTTTTCATGGTTCGTCAAGCTTGAAAGAGGCGCGCTGCCAGCAAACATGAAATTATTAAATTTTCACACGTTGCCGGCCCAACAATCGGAAAATGAAAGGCAAAAACCGAAACACCATAGAACACCAGGTGCACTTTACATAGTTTCCCCAACTAATTAATATTTTCGGAGACTGCAGCAGTTGCACTTCCGAAGTTTAGTAGCTAATTAAGAATGCGTCACTGTGTCGGCTGGCAATTACAAGTTGCCATTTTGTTTTATTGCCTCCCCCTCGGCTGGAAAATCGTAATTCAAAGTTATGACGCGATATATGGGCATATGGCTATATGGGTATGGGTATGAGCGCCATATGTGTGGCTTCGACTGCGGGGGAAATGTCAAAATTTTTGGTGGCCATGAAGCCTGGCAAATATTTCCCACGTGTAACGAACACCACCGACCGGCCGAGAATGGGAAAAAGGGAAATGCGACTGTCCATGGCCAGAAAGGGTTGGCCATAAACACTCCCGTTTTACGAGACACCCAGCCCAGCCCAACCAACCAGCCGCCCCCTTCAAGAACAGCGGCAGCTGGAAAGTTTTTAAGTAGCACAATCCTGGGAAGGTGTACCTGAAATATTATCCAGCCCCAAAGTTCTCGCATTCTCCGGATTCCTTTTTAGCTTCGTCTTGGCCGCTTTCAAAAGGGGGAAAGGAAAATGTAAACAGAGCTGGGGGAGTTTCGCAAAATAGGGGGAGAACACGAATCGTGTCAACTTTAAGCTTGATGGAAATTTATCACGTCCCGCCCCCTGCGGCTTTCTCGGAGGGGCGTGGCAGGCTTCTCAGCGTCTCCTAATGAGCGTCAAGACAAGAGCTGATTTTGCTGACGTTTTTCTCGGCTTCTTTTTTCGCCAGCAGTAGTGGAGAAAATTTCGTTAAAGGTTAATGAAAATTGATCAACATTATGTGGCTAGAAACTTAGTTTCGCCGTCAAAGGAGCTTAATTGAATTTCGTCTAGGGTTTGGCTGAGTGATTTCCCTTTTGGGGCGAATTAATATTATTGCTTGTTTTGTTTTAATGAAGTGGCAAATATCCAAGGGACCCACTCTCTGCTGTCTGCTGTCTGCGAAATTACCATAAATTCGTGGCCAGGATAAGGCGGTCGCGTGCCACTCAGACATTAGCCAATTCGAGGACACGAATTGCAATAAAATTCATTGTCTGCCAGGACACGAGACAGCAGCTTGCGTGCCGGAAATGCGCCTGTTTCCGGTCTAGACGCTTCTGGCAAGACAACTACATGAAAATTGTGGAGAAAAACCGGCAAAATAAGTTTAACAAAGAAAAATAAGGTATAAAATAATACACCTGGGAAGACGTGTGAGCAGCAAACTGCATTACGGCCACATTATTTGTCCCCCACTGCGTATACGTAATATCACGTGTCTGTGGAACGGAATCCTTGGGGAATGGGGGCATATTTCAGATGCCAAATGCCAGACAAAGCTCTCAGTCCCCCTCTCGGGTGAAAGTGTATTTTTGGATGGCGGGAAATTAATTTCCACTCGTCCGGGCACCAATTAAATTTGTACGAGGGAAAACCATTTCAAATGGCCTTTGTTAAGCATGCAAAATGCAATCGAGGACGACAAATGGAAGCAGCCGTTGCATCGGAAGCGGGACAAAAAGTTTCCACAACAACAGAAACATGACAGAACAACAGCGCACACACACACACAAACACACACAGACATTGAAATGGGAAAGCAGAGAAAGCAATGCCGAAAGAATTGAAAGAAAAAAGTTTCCTTTGTTGCTGATGCTGTTGCACTCTTTCTTCGCTGGAGGCGGAAAAGCAACAAGCAGCAACAAATACAAGCTGCCAGCAAACCTCTGACCGAAAAGCCCCATCCCCGAAGGGCTCCCCCCCCACCACGAACCAACTCTAATGCCGAACCAACCAACACCACCCGCCACCACCCACCAAACACAAGCAAACAAACGAGGGAAAACCAAGGAGAGCAATGCAATTGAGCTTAAACGATAACATTGTCCAAAGCAATGCATATGGAAAACTGCGAAAAACGAGCAACGAATAATGTGTGGCGTTTTTGCACTGGGAAAACCACTAAGCTGATGCTTATAAAAATGTAAGTAACATCAAAACAATGCATAACTCTTGAGCCCTTTCTAAAAACTATATATACTAGATATATAAAACATTGAATAATATACACATACGCCAGATGCTGCTGGCAAACCAAAAAAATATAAATCTTACTCTTGAACGCTTTGTTTTTCCGAGCTTCCTAAAATTAATTATAAAAACATAATTAAATAACATAAAATTTTAAAACGCAGATTAAGCGAATTATAATATAGCAGATTAAGGTACTGCATTAATCTAGTAAATATTTTCGATTAAACAACTTTTAAATAAGAGTTTTGAAAACTTTAAGCGTTTAAATGAAATTTACATTCAATTTATTGAGACACAATTAAAATGATATAAATTGTCTCTATTGTATATCATAGATTATGAAAACTGAAATGAATTATTTTTCATAAAGGAACGAATATATTCGATAATATTTTTCGAGTGTTGACCAACCTGGTTGGGGGAAAATGGTAACTTGACTTGCAACATGGCGTACAAATTAAAAGTGTGCCAGCGGCGAAACAAGTAGCACAGAAGTACAGGAAGTGCAGCAGCTGGCCAGGAATAGCATCAGGAGAAGCAGGAGCAGGAGCAGCTAGCGAATCCGAAGGAGACCTGCAGCTGGCGAGAAGGGCTTAGATTTAGAGGGAGCATTGTGAATTCCGAAGGACTACCGCATTTAAATGCAAATCAGCGTCCCCGCCACCGGCGATCTGCTCGCGCTCCATTAGCGCGTAT